TCCTTCTCCTTCTCCTTCTCCTTCTCCTTCTCCTTCTCCTTCTCCTTCTCCTTCTCCTTCTCCTTCTTCTCAGTTGTGACTTTGGTAGCTTTTCGTGGTTGTGAAAACATACAAAATGTTGTCATTGCATTTGATTACTTGTTTGTTACAGGAAGCAAATAATAAGTATGTTGAACACATTGTGTTATCTTTGGCAGACTCTTAGAAAGATTAATATATTTTATCTTCCAAGGTGTATCATTGTAAACTTCCTTGAAGTTCTTCAGAAATGTGAAGCAGTGAAAACTGAGGCTCCACTCTGCAACCCTAAACTCCCACAATTGGGGCCATTAATAAGGAAAATTTGTATTCCAAGGAATAGAGTGCATATCAAAAATTAGGAACCAGTGTACAAAAAACGTCCTGTGAATAGCCTGACAGGGCTTGTGGATATTCCATATGCATTTGGGTTTGTGGATTCTGTCTTTCACTTGCCTGATGAGCATATGAAGCTTCTTGGAAATTTTTTGAGGAAATTCAGATTACAGAATACTGTAAAGCCTGGTTTTCACTGTGACACGAGCACAAGCATAAGCATAATGGTACTAGGACACCCACAACACAAGCATGCACATAGTCATGCACAGAGTGAATAATTGCTTTATTTTTGGTTTCATACATGTACCTCTGTGATACAGTAAAACAATATGGCGGACTTTCACTTATGCTTACAGCAGTATGTTCTCACTTCACATAAGCATAAGCACAAGCACAAGAAAAACAAAAACTTTTATTCTTCTTGTGCTGATGCTTGTGTCATGCATGTCTTCATTACGATATGCCTGTGTTTATGCTTGCTGTTGAAGGCGTCCTCACTGTGGTCGCGATCATGCTTGTGCTTGTGTCGGAGTGAAAACCAGACTTGACAGATGAACTATTGTCAGTGGGAGCTAGTGAGGGATAGTACTTCATAGTTTGAGGTTCCTGAAAATTTGTTCTCTTTACACCCTGTGAACTCTAGGAAGAGTAATAGTATTTGCAGAATGTTATTGTCAAAAGGGAAAACCAGTCAGATGTGAGATTAAAAAACCACAAACACTAACTGACTTTATTAATAGAGATTCTTTTTGCCATGCAGGTGACGAAGCTATTTTGGATCGTGTAGGGAACTTAAAAGGCTCACTTGAAGTTCAGACTTCAGTGGTGCAAGAAATCATTGAGGAGGCAGAGTTGTTCAAGAAGAGAGCATTAATTGAAAAGCTCTCAGCTCACCTTGGACACCTTCAAGAAAGACTTTCCCCAAACTCTGATGTGATTGAAGTTTCAAAAAAGAAAAGATAGCACTTGTTGTGTTGAGGCATGGAAAATTGTTCATAGCCACTCAACCTCCTGTTTGTTTTTTTCTCAGTTTGATAAATTGACAAATGTAAATATTGATGGCATGTGGTGAGTTGCATCAACTCATATGGCAGACTGTAAATTATAACAAGCTTAAAGTAAAAGAGTTCTGGAGTCATTTGCTACCTTGTTTGCCAAAGAAAATAGTATTTTCATGTCTTCAATATGTGGAGCCAAGACCCCCTCAAAGTCATTTGCAATGGATGGTTAAAGTCCATGACAAGTAAAATGGATGTTGTTTGTCAATTAGTTAAATTTTTAGCAGTTGTGTACAGTTTGCCCAAAAGAACCACAATACAAATTTGACAATAATATTTTTCTAAAGTTTTCACTCAGGAATAATTGAAGAATAAACTGTAAACTTACATGTACACTGTTCAGTGTAATGGCCTTCATTTGAATGTTCACAGTGAAAAATCTCAGTCACAGAGTAAAAGCTAAAAACCTCTTGTGCAGCATAGAACTTACACATAGCCACATAAAGTACTTTGTTGTGACGTCATTCAAAGACTGTTCCAACACTGTCTAGTTTTGCAGAACAAGTTCGTTCAGAAAAAGTGTTGGTAGAAATTAAAACACGTAGAATGTTTTCAGTGCAAAACTTTCTCATTTTGTATCTCATGGCCAGTGTTTTCACTTCTATGGCAATTTCCTCTTTGGTAAAGTCGTGTCCATAATAACATATTGTGTTTGAAAATAAAGCTACCTACCAGTTTTAATATGCCGAGTCTCAGGGGTGATGTGTATTCAAAGTGACAAAAAGTTTCAAATGCCTTTCATAGTGATTGCAATAATCCACTTTGGTGTGGTGTGATGTAAGCTTTGTGCCATCCTGTCAATTACAAACAATGAGCTTAACTAACTACTTCTGTAAGAAACTCATCAGAGTTCCCTGCTATTAATAATGTGAGTTGTTGAGATATTCAACCCAGTTACACAATCTTGGCATTAAATTTTCAAAGGTTGTCAGGCCTTTCATTAAGTTTTGATTCACATGTAGCGTTGATCTTCTCACCCATTAGCAAACTTGTTACTTTATAGGTGAATTGTATCAACTACAGGCAACGTCACCAGTAACGACAAAGACCCATCAAGCATACTGAGTCGTAAGAGGTGTCAAGTAACAGGGCTCAATAACGTGCGCTTACTGACAGTTGTGGTTGCAGCTTCCCCTCTTTTCCTTGGTTACTTGTGTTTGAAGGGTTGTGTCATTCAATAAAAACACAGAACTATGACTAAAGGCATTTCATAGTATTGCGAGAATTATCAAAGATGTGCTCTTGACAGGGGCACAGTGACCATAATTATATGCTTGTATGCATGTGCATAGCTCCATAAATCCAGAATAAGTAAAAATATACTTATTGGCAATAATAATTAAGTTACCTGGTTTGACAGTCCCTAGTCTCTCCTATTAAACCTGCTATCATTTACCCCAATGGTTAACATCTAAACAACACAGGCTACAACATGTAAATACTCCAATGTTTTTCCATGTTTTGATTAATGAAACTGTTCCTTGGAATATACAGAAAATGGCATTTCTGAACCCCTAAAAATGAAAATTTTCTGCAGGAGTGAAAAGCTCTTCAAACCTGAAGTATGTATGAACTGCATACTAAAATTCAAAACTCTTGAAGACCTGTTAAACCCCTAGCTAGTCCTGACAATTCAAGAGACATTAAAAAACAACCTTTACGTGAATTTGCACATTTAACTATATGCATACCTTTACTAAGTTGCTCTTTTCACTGGGGTCATGTTCAGATTTTATGAAACAATTCACACATGGGCTTTCAACGTATTTGCACTAGTAAAGTGAACTATGTAAAAAGTAAATATATTTCTGATAAATGTAGTCCTCCTTTATACCATCAACAAGGTGTTAGCTTCGCCCTTAATACAGAAGTGCGCTTAGTCTTACAGTTTTTTCGTAATAGTGTAGTTCAGTAGGCAACATTTTAGTCGAGCTTTGAGTCAGAAATGACTTTTTTTTTATTATTGAGTTAATTCCATGAGTAATAACACATTTTGATGTTAAATGGAAAAACAAAATGATAAAAATTATGAATGCCTTGTTTCTAATAAGCTACCTTCCCCAAATTCTAACTTTTAGTGCCCTGGCCTAGCTTGTTTGAAAGGTGGATAGCACTATCCATCAGAGTCTGAAGTCACTATCCAGGGGATAGCATGGTTTGTTTTGTCAACACTTCTCTGCTGGATAGCAATTTATCCAGCCTTCCAACAACTAGGGCCTGAACAAATCAAATATAACATCCTTGTGTGTCCAAAACCACCATTGCATGATTCATTATGCAACCTTTGTCTACTTCTAGGCCTCGATGTTTTGCTGTGGTCAATCATTTTCAGGTCACATGGTCTGAGGTAATTTGTGAAAAGTGGCCGTTTGTCTCGGTCATGTCACCAAAATCAATTGAGCGCGAAGGCCTGGGAGAAAGCCGTATAGAAACTGGGCAAATGCAACCTCAAAGTGCTTAACTAACTTGAACAGCAGCAACTTGAACACCTGGCAAGCAGGCAAAGTGTCATTCAATTTGCTTTTAATTACACTTATTTTGACTTTCTTTACTTAAAACTATTATCAATTTTTTTTTTGGATTTCACTCTTAAGAGATTTTGATTATCTAAGTGTCATTCTTTATCAGGGTTTGAGATATGTTTTCAAAGCAAGGTGTCAATGAGGAACTGAAACAGGTCAAAAGATATGATTTGATATGATTTGTTGGTTCAGAGGTCCCTGTCTAATCTGTTATATTTATGCTGCTATTTGACTTTTCCCTCTTTGTTGTGTGACTTGTCTTAATTCATTACTGTGTAATACTCATGTTATTGTTCTTGCCAGCACTGAATATGTTCATACAAATCAAATAAATGAGATATTGGAGCTGCTGATGGTTGTGGCAATGGCTCCTCTCTATAGAACAAGTCATGGTCAAAATGTGCCATTTGCGTCTCAAAATCTTCTGAAAAGAAAGCCATGATGTCTGGCTCCTGTGAAAGAAGCTTGTTTGTCTTGTTTGTACTGCTCCGTGCCTTTGGATGAGCACACTCAGCAAGCACTTCTTCCGCATCAACATCAAGGGAAACCAAGTCCGAATAAATGTGATTTCCCTTCTTTACATTGACTGCCTGAGCAACTCTTTCTCCCAGGTTTGTTCGTGTAGTTTCAGATTGTTCAAGTTCTTCAGCTATTGCAGCAACTGCATCAAACTGCTCCCGTTGAAGAGCCAGAAGTTTTCTACTAACTCGTTTGGTGGAGTTCATTGATGGTTGTGTCAGGCTGAAAAATCATAAGGCAACAAATTATAAATGGAAGTTAAATTACTTCATGGCATCTTTTAGGGGTCAAATAGAGCTTGAGCCACGCCCCTTGGTCTCTGTTGGGAGTATAATTCAAATTTTCTGACGAACATCCCCAACCTTTTCACATGGTAGAACTCCTGCCTCCCCACCCCCTCCTTAGGCTACAACCACACTTTGAACAGCTGGTTGCTAAATAGAGAGAGGCTTTGTGAGTGAAGTACCTTGCATATTACAGGAACAATTCACACAAGGACTCTGCCGTGAACACAGACCTCCTTATTAACAGCAGTAAATAAATGTACTAACCATTTGGTGTGTCTTTCAATGGTGACTGTTAATTAATTTCCAACTCTAACAACTGTTTCACAAACTATTTTCTCCTATTTACAATATCAATACAATAAAAAGAACACAATTGAATAAAGAGAACCATCGCCTGCCGCACATTAGATGATGTACCACTAAATTCTCTCAGACATTAAAGGGAATGTATGTGAATTTGTAAGGAGAGTATACGTTTTGAGCTTCGGGTTGAAATCTATCGATCTTAGTAACCATATGAACTTGGTAAGCTACAAAAACAACAAAATCTCTTGCCCAGTTCTGACTGTTCTCGTTGGAAGTACAATATTTCATCGAAATAAACGTACCATGCATAGATTTCCTTGCTTTCTTCCGTCTTATTTTCAGTGGGCGCCTCTGAAATGTTCTTTTGGCCATTCTGTTTGGGTTTCTTTGCTTTCTTCTCAGGAGTGAGATCTAGCTGCGGACTCATGAACAAGGTAGTCGAAAGCTGAGGCGCTGGCTTTGGAGGCCGTCGAATGCCATCAGAATCCATGATAACGACTAACGTTTTTGTGCTTTAAGAAAACCATGGGTTTGAAACAAATTGTCGAAAACTTTCGGGACCATGAGTCGCCATTTTGAAACTGCCCGCAAACTGCGTGCTAGAGTAGTGTTCCGCTGACCAAAACTTTTCTACACCCGTGTCGTGGCTTCTCCGATCCTCCGAGACTTCTTTCGAGGAGATCGGCTTGTCTTTCCATCCCTCCAAAATTTTGTAATCCTTACAACCATGTTTATAAAAAAAACAATTCTGTCCTTTTCTCAATATACAGGATGCAACAAAGTGTTTTACAGTCATATATCGTAATGAAAATTCAAACTATTACGAACTAGCTTGTTTGATAAACACATCTATTTTAAAACGCTCCAGATGTTTCCTTCTCTTCGGCAACCTCCGCAAACAAGAATGAGAAATTGCAGCGAAAAAGAAAAGAAAAAACTCGTCCCCGGGTGGGCTTGAACCACCAACCTTTCGGTTAACAGCCGAACGCGCTAACCGATTGCGCCACGGAGACTTAACTAGTAAAGGTAGAATTTATTTGCAATAAAATCCTTTTACCCACAATGACTTGCTTTCCTTGTGCCTCTGTTTCAAAACGAGTCCTCATGCAAACCAATAATGTCCTCGTGCAAACCATTGATATGAAAATGAGTTTGATTTGCATGAAAATGAATCTGTAAGGGAAACCCATTTTCATATCAATTCTTTCGCACGAATACTCGTTTTGACAGAGTCAAAAGGCAACCCAGAAAAATGACCTATTCCCAGAATTTCTGCTGGCGTTGGCCATTGATAAATACATATGAGTTATTGACTGAAGAAACGAACGAGCTTGGTCAATAAACATAACAAAGAAGCAAGGATTATTACAGCCTTGCTTCATTTTTATGTTTCTATTTTTTGCTGATCAGATCTTTTACAGATCCCCAATACACCGGCAGAATTTTCGTTTGCGGTCTCTTGCATCATTGTATTTGGTCAATAGAGGATTTATATGGCCTTCGGGGAAATTTTTCTTGCGTGACACAGCGGGCAGTCCCGAGCGTTCTGCCCGCTCGGGTAGCCAATCACAGCGCAGGATTTTGTTCAGCTAATGTGGCATGTAATATGTCAAACTCCAGATTACGTTAAATCGCCGTAAAGTGAGCCTTTTGAAAAACTGATTACAAATTAAAATAGCTGCTTAGGGCAATAGCGCCCGGCCCAGACAGATAGGCTAACTAAATAAGAACATAAAACCACATGAAATGAAGGTCTACATTGGAACACTTTGCAGTTCAGTCAATTAAAATTTCAGGCCGTTTCTCATCTTGGTTAAGATTTTAAACAATTTTCTGCAATCAGTTAAACCCCATCCACAAGCCCTCTAAAATCGGCGAGCACTAAATCGCTCAGCCTTCGCCTCTTTTTTTTTTTTTTTCTCTCGTCCTTCTAATACTGTATCAGGAAGCCTGTTCACAAACTGTTTGAAGAAGTCCCATTGACTGTTCTTCCTTTCATTTTGAAAGCCTTTTTCACGGTTAATTTGTCTCTCTTGGATTACAGTCTAATCCAACGTGAGTTCAAGGCAATTTCGGGCAAAAACAGTAACTACCAAAACTGCCCGAAATTGCCTCCCGTATTGTAATGCAAATGGCAGAAAATTCTAATATTGTCTTTGTTCATTTTACAGAAACAATCAGTGGGTGTCTGTGAAAGCTATGATTCCAGATTTAGTGCAACCTCACCGGTTTATGTTCTGAATCGCTTCTGAACGTTCAGTTTTGCTTAGTCTCTTTTTTATTCAGAAACTTTCCCTAGCAACATTTCAAGAACGTGAGATATTAACTTTTTTAATTGTCTTCAAAGTGAAGTGTCTCACCAAAGGTATTGTATTTCAAACAATCTTTGATTATTTTCCACTTCATTAGTGCACGCATATTTTTCGGTTCGATTTCTGTTTACCTTTAGCAACGTACAAGCAGAGAAGTGGCTTTTTGTTTACAGTACATTCTGCCACTCCAACCGATCACAAGATCAACAGGATTTCACCGTGAATCAGTTTCTCCGTCAAGATGTGGTTTGAAGTTCTGCTCTGCCTCTTCATAAGCGGTAAGTACAATTGGTCTGTAACTCTCTTCTTTGAGGCAGAATGTCCACGCTAGTGTACACTTTCTGAGGTGCTAGTATAGGTGTGTGTTTCCCGTAAACAAAAAACGGCCATAGTGAACTTGGTCTCCATGGTGCGAGGTTGTATACACACTGACGGATCGACCTAGAGATTCCCAGAACGAAGCATAGTTTTGCAGCCGTTCAAACTGGGTCGTGAACGCCGGGTCTAGAGGCTTGAAAACTACTCTATCCTAAAGATTTATGTGTTTCATAGGAACAGTTGCGCCTCGCTTGCATTGGTAATTGCATTGTTAATTAATTACCGCACAGTGAGTTGTGTTAACTGCTGTAGATTCCGGCTGTTTGAACCGACGAAGGAAATCTTATTGTTGCTAAGAATAGATTTTTAAGCTGTTACGGTATCTCTGACACTGCTTATTCTTTTATCAATTATCTGTAATTAGATGCAGGAACGTTTGGAAAAGCCAGAATTTTATTTCCAATCGAATCCTCAGGTGAGAGTAAGTCATGAGTTACATTTTACAAGTCAGCAAACGTAGAGAAGTAAAAGAACTCTTTCAATAGCTGTTCTCTCTCCGAGTTCTCGTTTCTCTCCTTGCTCGTTAGTTGAAGCGCTAGCCTCTCGTGATTTATTCCAGTGTCATTTTGAATAATCCATCAATTCTGTCAAGGTTGTCATTTTAATTTTAACTTGTATCCAACAGCGTTTTCCGTTTTCAACACCTTCAGTGTTTCTACAATGTCGCCCGTCAATTTCATTGGTCGGTTTGGAACTAAAAATCGTTGCTCTACAAGATCCCCCGGCTTGGCCGTTTGCTCCCGCTCAAATTGTGACAATTCTCAACTTATAAAAACAACTACCTGTTTAATGAATCAGTTAGTTTACTTTAGGGTGAATAAAACGTCATAAGGGAATTGTCAGGTTTGTATTTACACACAACTGCCAACGGAAATGCTCGTGGAGTGTTTATTTTGGCACTGCCTTGCTCGATTAATAACCACTTGACATGATCTACCTTGATTCAACACTGAGCATAGAACTGATAGAAACACCAGCTGTAGATACGAGTAAAAACCAAAACCCTGAACAAGGAGATTGCGGTATTTTTTGTACTGTCTTGCCGCTCATTTATTCCATTATTTGCATAATTAACTGTCTGATTCGTTACATAGATTACGCGAGGGTTCTAAAGACAAGTATTTGGATATAAATTTCTGGTTTCGTGAACAAATTGTCAAAATTTCCCAGAGTCTCTTGGACATCAGGAGACTAATTAAATAAAAACGTAACAAACACGATCGACATTTTTCCCTTTGCAGAATCGTTATGCAACAGTGAACTCGGCATGCAAGCTAACTGGATCCAAGACGCGGCCATTACCGCTTCGTCGATTCGCGACCTTGAACACGATCCTGGGCGAGCACGTCTCCATGGTAACGGAGCGTGGAGGCCGCTGATTCAAAGCGCCGATCAATTTTTGCAGATTCATTTCGACGACGAAACTAACGTGTCAGCGGTGGCCATTCAGGGGCATCCTGAAAACGAGTTCTGGGTGTCGAAGTATTCGTTGTCATTTAGCATGGACGCTAAGCGCTGGGAGGATCATTCTGAGGTATCTAGTATGTGTAACAGAGTTCGCGAGAGGTGTGTTTTCACATGACGTCACGGCAGCCAATATAATTTATAGCCTCTCCAGCGCGTAGGACACGAGCGCTAAAATGCAACGAGGTGTAGCGGGGGAAAGATCAAAACAGTTTTAAAAATTTTTTTCGCCCGCCGCGCTCTCTTTAACGCGTGCTCGACGACGAAAAAAACCTCGTCGAAAAAGAAAAGTTGGTGGGCAGGCTACAAAATAATGAAACGGCGGACGTGTTGGTATGCCAACTGAATCGATTCTGTGGAAGATGAACTATTTTCTTATGTAAACACTTTCTTTGGCTACAATAAATTTGCATGGCTGCTGGCTTCGTGTGTGAAAACGCTCCATAGGCCTTATTCCCAAAAGCCAAAAGCAATCCCTTTCAAATTATTTTAGGTCCCTCCAGGAGGGTATAGAAATAGCCAATCCTTTGCCCGGGATGTTGGTCACGTGGACAGCCCAAGAGGCTTACCGCGAATTTTTATCCTTGACGAAAATATTTACGCATCGCGAATCGTAAGATTAACTGCGAAAGAACTGGGTAACATGTCTAAAAATAACTTGAGATGGATTACCTTTAGAATAACTCTATTACCTTGCATCCTCTCTTGTATAAATCTAAATTAAGCATTTATAGCGGCATCTTTTCTTATTACTTTAAGAAGCAAAAGATTAAATCGCAACTGCCCATTACAAGTCGCGACAAACGCAATGAACTAATCAGAACTCGAGTAATACGTGCTACCGGTGTCGAGCGCAGGAAATCTATTTTGGCTTTACTTCTGATTGGCTGAAAAGAAACACCTCAGCAGACCTGTTTGTATCTGATTAGCTAAACGGCATTGCACAAGACGCAGTTTTTACCCAACGAGAGAGCCAACCAGACGCTGAACTAAAGCAAAGCATGCCAAGTCTTAATTAACAGTTAAGCAAAACGGTTTTTTCCTGAATTTTTTTTCTGTTTTGGTCTCTTATGTTGCCTCGTGTTACATCACACGTTTACTAATAACAATATTTAAAAAGGGACAAGTTTCTTCCCTAGGTTTTTGACGGCAGCAAAAATAAGCACGAGATTACAACATCTCAACTGGAAGAGCCAAAAATGGCGCGGTTTCTGCGAGTCAAGCCAATAGAGTGGCATGGTGACATTGCTCTTAGAGTCGAGATTTATGGCTGCATGCGAGGTGAGCTGTTTATTCCAACTTATTTTTTTGTGGGCTGTAGTCGAGGGTCGTCGGAATACGGTCGGTGAATTCGTGGCCCTTTCGATCGGTATCCCGACTCCGAGAATCCATCGAGCACGCAGTTTAGATGGCGTACTCTTATGACGACAAAATCACGTGCCAACTTTTAGAGACCACGTGCTACTGATTTCTGGTTTTCATTCTAAAGCTCTTGAAGAGCGACCGATTTAGTGGAAAGACAACGTTGCTTGTCCACGTTAAGAGCCTAAAAGACCAAATTATAACAAACAAAATGAACAGGCTCGTGCTACAGAACATCAGTCGTTAGTTATGAAATGTGGTGTTAAGACCTTTGTCGATTTTGTTTGAAATACAGTGATGCAGTCACTTATTTGTAAAAACAATTTACTCTTCTGTTACAAAAGGTGGCACATAAATTTCACCAACATTCTCAAAAATCCTTGTTAATTCCATTCTTATTACACAGAAAAAAAGAACTGATTCTTCTTTAATTTTTTCAGATTTCCCAAAATGCGGAATTCGACGTCAAGAGGAGAATCGCCATTCTCGCCAAAGGCGAATTGTCGGTGGCAGCGAAGCCCGTCCAAACTCCTGGCCATGGCAAGTGGAAATTTTGGTGAATGGTACAAGTCATTGGTGCGGAGGATCACTCATTCATCCGCAGTGGATCATAACAGCAGCGCACTGCGTGGATAAGTTTTACTCCCCCTACCCCAGAGAAATACGCCTCGGGGAACACCACAGTAAAACACTCGAGGGTTACGAGGAGGTTGTTGAGGCCGATAAATCTTATATGCATCCTGGATTTACTCATGATCGCCCAACGTTCATCAGTGCGGGGGATTATGACTTTGCGCTTTATCATCTCAAAAGACCCGCCACTTTTTACAGCCGTGTTAGCCCAGTGTGTCTGCCCGACGAAGACTCCACTATCGCCGAGGATGTCGGCCGAGTCTGCGTCGTGACTGGTTGGGGGCATACCAGTGAGAATGGCAACTTTTCCGATGTCCTGCATGAAAACGAAGTACCTATAGTTTCGTGGGAAGAATGTAACAAAGAGAGGTCATATAACGGGTATATTAAAGAACGCTTCATGTGCGCAGGATATGAGGAAGGAGGGAAGGACGCCTGCCAAGGAGACAGCGGAGGGCCCTTGGTGTGTCAAGATGACGCAGGAAGATGGGTCCTCGCTGGTGTGGTGACTTGGGGAGTGGGATGTGCGAGACCCCTCAAGTTTGGGGTGTACAGTGATGTACGCCGATTCCTCCCCTTCATTGAAAGCACCATATATGGTATGCAATTAATGAGGCTATGATGTTTAATTAAAATCATTGCTATAAAATCACATATTTTCTTGTTTTCGACATAGTTAATGGAGGGGAATGGTTATGAAACCCGACAAATTTCTTTGTTTTATGTTTTTGTTCTCTTTTTTGGCCTTGACCGTGCACAGAACACTTGTTTACTCCGTTCTGAGGAACTAACCAATAGAAACGTTTTGGTTACGTAATTCATACATAGTGTATGAGCGCAGAACAAAAGATTGTGCACCGTCGTGGACCTTCCAACATACATTTTGGCATCTTTGTTTGCTCCTTTGATTTTTGCCGGGCTTCAGAACCATTTCCCTCTAAAAACTATGTTTTCAATTTAGGGTTTTCCGGGAAATCTTTCTAGCAAACTAAATCTTGCCCAGCTTGCTTAAAATACTGACGTTGAAAAATGTAAACAAGTATTAGGGAACTTTGATTTCAGTTGTGACCATATAAAGAAAATAATAAGAAAATAATGTGTTTGAGGTTACAAATGGTCCAGTTTCGAGTTAATCGAGACCGCTGAAATAAAGGACTAAAGACATACATGTAAAAGGTCAGTCTCGATCTGAAGTAAAATTTTCGCAAATACCGGTGAGGCCGTGGAGTGCTTGCTGAAAAGTCTGTACATTGTTTTGACTTGTTTCATCTTTCGTGATAGTCAATGATGGCGGATTCTCCCCTAAATATCACCAACTATCATGAACTACCATGAGCGTGGTCAAATGGGAAATCCCATCATCAATAATCATGGAGAATTTGAAAAGGCTTAAAATGAATGAAAGTTGATGACTGTCGATGATGGTACATGATAGCTGGTGATCAAACTGAAGCGCGTGCTACAACTATCATCGACTATCATGAACTATCACTCGCGGTTTAACCAGGATTTAACACTGTACTGTTTAATGTTTTCTTTATTTGTTCACAACTGAAATCAAATTTGATCAATTTATTGTTTATTTGAAAGTGTAGCTTCGACTAATATGTATATCTGCATTACCCGTGCCAGGTTACCCAGAATGTGGAGTTCGACCAGTGGCCTCCATTTCCTCCCGCATCGTGGGAGGACGCGAGGCTCGCCCCAACTCCTGGCCGTGGCAAGTCGATCTTCTGGTCAATGGTACTGCTCACTACTGCGGAGGCTCTCTGATTGATCCGTCCTGGATTGTGACGTCAGCGCATTGTTTTTATTTATATACCCAACCGGAGCAGTGGCAAGTCAGGGTTGGAGAACACAACGAGACAAAATTCGAAGGTTACGAAGAAATGATCAATATTGATACGATAACAATTCATCCCGGATTTATACTGGGCAGCGCCGAAGACACTGGCGATTACGATATTGCGATCATCAAACTCAAGCGGCCAGCGGTGTTCCACAAACTGGTGCACTCTATCTGTCTGCCTGAAATGGAAACTCGTTTTGCAACCGGTAAAACCTGTTTTGCCACCGGATGGGGAAAGCAAGACGAAAATGCGGCTGAGTACTCTGACGTTCTTCGCGAAGTGGAGGTGGACCTGGTATCTAAAGAAGTCTGTAACAGCAATATTTCCTACAATGGCCTGCTAAACGAGCGATATTTTTGCGCCGGGTTTCAAGCTGGCGACAAAGACGCGTGCAGTGGTGATAGCGGAGGACCGCTGGCTTGCCAGATTGAGAATGGAAGTTTCGTTTTGACGGGTGTGGTTAGCTGGGGAGAAGGATGCGCTCGAGCTAATAAATATGGCGTGTATTTAGATGTACGGTTCATGTTGCCATTCATTGAGAGCACAATAGACGGTACGTTTCGTACTAATTAGAACATAATACCTTCATTTAGCTGAACCGATCTCAAAACACCTGAATTATGAACAGTTCGTCCAATCTTAATCTCAAGTACTTTGTATAAAATTCTGTTGTGGCGTATAATTCCACTCAATAGTTAATTATTTTAAGAGTGTATGTGCACTGTAATGGCAAACATCTTAAGACTCTTAAGACATAGTTGAAGACGTTCGTAAAGCCTGGTTTTCACTAGCGACGCAAGCACAAGCGCGAACAATAATTCTTATTTCACTGTGAAAACGGCCTTGACGCAGGCATACGCAGAAGCGCAAGCGCAAGCACAAGGATCAATCTTTTTTTTCTCTTGTGCTTGCGCTTATGCTTGTGTTTGCGCTGCAACAAGTGAAAACGAAATACCGCCCAGGGATAACACGAGCGCAAGGATATTTACCACACGTGGTTATGTTTGGCCAGGGAAAATGCTGGATCCAGATATTACCCCACGCCCAAACAGTTTGGAAGGTTCGGATGATTTTGCTTGTGCTTGTGCTTAGGTCGAATTTTGTTTTCACTTGAGTCATTCCTATTACTTGCGTTTGTGCTTGCGTTTGTGCTTGCGTTTGTGCTTGCGCTTGTGCCTGCACTTGTGCTTGCGCTTGTGCTTGNTTTGATTATTTTCCACTTCATTAGTGCACGCATATTTTTCGGTTCGATTTCTGTTTACCTTTAGCAACGTACAAGCAGAGAAGTGGCTTTTTGTTTACAGTACATTCTGCCACTCCAACCGATCACAAGATCAACAGGATTTCACCGTGAATCAGTTTCTCCGTCAAGATGTGGTTTGAAGTTCTGCTCTGCCTCTTCATAAGCGGTAAGTACAATTGGTCTGTAACTCTCTTCTTTGAGGCAGAATGTCCACGCTAGTGTACACTTTCTGAGGTGCTAGTATAGGTGTGTGTTTCCCGTAAACAAAAAACGGCCATAGTGAACTTGGTCTCCATGGTGCGAGGTTGTATACACACTGACGGATCGACCTAGAGATTCCCAGAACGAAGCATAGTTTTGCAGCCGTTCAAACTGGGTCGTGAACGCCGGGTCTAGAGGCTTGAAAACTACTCTATCCTAAAGATTTATGTGTTTCATAGGAACAGTTGCGCCTCGCTTGCATTGGTAATTGCATTGTTAATTAATTACCGCACAGTGAGTTGTGTTAACTGCTGTAGATTCCGGCTGTTTGAACCGACGAAGGAAATCTTATTGTTGCTAAGAATAGATTTTTAAGCTGTTACGGTATCTCTGACACTGCTTATTCTTTTATCAATTATCTGTAATTAGATGCAGGAACGTTTGGAAAAGCCAGAATTTTATTTCCAATCGAATCCTCAGGTGAGAGTAAGTCATGAGTTACATTTTACAAGTCAGCAAACGTAGAGAAGTAAAAGAACTCTTTCAATAGCTGTTCTCTCTCCGAGTTCTCGTTTCTCTCCTTGCTCGTTAGTTGAAGCGCTAGCCTCTCGTGATTTATTCCAGTGTCATTTTGAATAATCCATCAATTCTGTCAAGGTTGTCATTTTAATTTTAACTTGTATCCAACAGCGTTTTCCGTTTTCAACACCTTCAGTGTTTCTACAATGTCGCCCGTCAATTTCATTGGTCGGTTTGGAACTAAAAATCGTTGCTCTACAAGATCCCCCGGCTTGGCCGTTTGCTCCCGCTCAAATTGTGACAATTCTCAACTTATAAAAACAACTACCTGTTTAATGAATCAGTTAGTTTACTTTAGGGTGAATAAAACGTCATAAGGGAATTGTCAGGTTTGTATTTACACACAACTGCCAACGGAAATGCTCGTGGAGTGTTTATTTTGGCACTGCCTTGCTCGATTAATAACCACTTGACATGATCTACCTTGATTCAACACTGAGCATAGAACTGATAGAAACACCAGCTGTAGATACGAGTAAAAACCAAAACCCTGAACAAGGAGATTGCGGTATTTTTTGTACTGTCTTGCCGCTCATTTATTCCATTATTTGCATAATTAACTGTCTGATTCGTTACATAGATTACGCGAGGGTTCTAAAGACAAGTATTTGGATATAAATTTCTGGTTTCGTGAACAAATTGTCAAAATTTCCCAGAGTCTCTTGGACATCAGGAGACTAATTAAATAAAAACGTAACAAACACGATCGACATTTTTCCCTTTGCAGAATCGTTATGCAACAGTGAACTCGGCATGCAAGCTAACTGGATCCAAGACGCGGCCATTACCGCTTCGTCGATTCGCGACCTTGAACACGATCCTGGGCGAGCACGTCTCCATGGTAACGGAGCGTGGAGGCCGCTGATTCAAAGCGCCGATCAATTTTTGCAGATTCATTTCGACGACGAAACTAACGTGTCAGCGGTGGCCATTCAGGGGCATCCTGAAAACGAGTTCTGGGTGTCGAAGTATTCGTTGTCATTTAGCATGGACGCTAAGCGCTGGGAGGATCATTCTGAGGTATCTAGTATGTGTAACAGAGTTCGCGAGAGGTGTGTTTTCACATGACGTCACGGCAGCCAATATAATTTATAGCCTCTCCAGCGCGTAGGACACGAGCGCTAAAATGCAACGAGGTGTAGCGGGGGAAAGATCAAAACAGTTTTAAAAATTTTTTTCGCCCGCCGCGCTCTCTTTAACGCGTGCTCGACGACGAAAAAAACCTCGTCGAAAAAGAAAAGTTGGTGGGCAGGCTACAAAATAATGAAACGGCGGACGTGTTGGTATGCCAACTGAATCGATTCTGTGGAAGATGAACTATTTTCTTATGTAAACACTTTCTTTGGCTACAATAAATTTGCATGGCTGCTGGCTTCGTGTGTGAAAACGCTCCATAGGCCTTATTCCCAAAAGCCAAAAGCAATCCCTTTCAAATTATTTTAGGTCCCTCCAGGAGGGTATAGAAATAGCCAATCCTTTGCCCGGGATGTTGGTCACGTGGACAGCCCAAGAGGCTTACCGCGAATTTTTATCCTTGACGAAAATATTTACGCATCGCGAATCGTAAGATTAACTGCGAAAGAACTGGGTAACATGTCTAAAAATAACTTGAGATGGATTACCTTTAGAATAACTCTATTACCTTGCATCCTCTCTTGTATAAATCTAAATTAAGCATTTATAGCGGCATCTTTTCTTATTACTTTAAGAAGCAAAAGATTAAATCGCAACTGCCCATTACAAGTCGCGACAAACGCAATGAACTAATCAGAACTCGAGTAATACGTGCTACCGGTGTCGAGCGCAGGAAATCTATTTTGGCTTTACTTCTGATTGGCTGAAAAGAAACACCTCAGCAGACCTGTTTGTATCTGATTAGCTAAACGGCATTGCACAAGACGCAGTTTTTACCCAACGAGAGAGCCAACCAGACGCTGAACTAAAGCAAAGCATGCCAAGTCTTAATTAACAGTTAAGCAAAACGGTTTTTTCCTGAATTTTTTTTCTGTTTTGGTCTCTTATGTTGCCTCGTGTTACATCACACGTTTACTAATAACAATATTTAAAAAGGGACAAGTTTCTTCCCTAGGTTTTTGACGGCAGCAAAAATAAGCACGAGATTACAACATCTCAACTGGAAGAGCCAAAAATGGCGCGGTTTCTGCGAGTCAAGCCAATAGAGTGGCATGGTGACATTGCTCTTAGAGTCGAGATTTATGGCTGCATGCGAGGTGAGCTGTTTATTCCAACTTATTTTTTTGTGGGCTGTAGTCGAGGGTCGTCGGAATACGGTCGGTGAATTCGTGGCCCTTTCGATCGGTATCCCGACTCCGAGAATCCATCGAGCACGCAGTTTAGATGGCGTACTCTTATGACGACAAAATCACGTGCCAACTTTTAGAGACCACGTGCTACTGATTTCTGGTTTTCATTCTAAAGCTCTTGAAGAGCGACCGATTTAGTGGAAAGACAACGTTGCTTGTCCACGTTAAGAGCCTAAAAGACCAAATTATAACAAACAAAATGAACAGGCTCGTGCTACAGAACATCAGTCGTTAGTTATGAAATGTGGTGTTAAGACCTTTGTCGATTTTGTTTGAAATACAGTGATGCAGTCACTTATTTGTAAAAACAATTTACTCTTCTGTTACAAAAGGTGGCACATAAATTTCACCAACATTCTCAAAAATCCTTGTTAATTCCATTCTTATTACACAGAAAAAAAGAACTGATTCTTCTTTAATTTTTTCAGATTTCCCAAAATGCGGAATTCGACGTCAAGAGGAGAATCGCCATTCTCGCCAAAGGCGAATTGTCGGTGGCAGCGAAGCCCGTCCAAACTCCTGGCCATGGCAAGTGGAAATTTTGGTGAATGGTACAAGTCATTGGTGCGGAGGATCACTCATTCATCCGCAGTGGATCATAACAGCAGCGCACTGCGTGGATAAGTTTTACTCCCCCTACCCCAGAGAAATACGCCTCGGGGAACACCACAGTAAAACACTCGAGGGTTACGAGGAGGTTGTTGAGGCCGATAAATCTTATATGCATCCTGGATTTACTCATGATCGCCCAACGTTCATCAGTGCGGGGGATTATGACTTTGCGCTTTATCATCTCAAAAGACCCGCCACTTTTTACAGCCGTGTTAGCCCAGTGTGTCTGCCCGACGAAGACTCCACTATCGCCGAGGATGTCGGCCGAGTCTGCGTCGTGACTGGTTGGGGGCATACCAGTGAGAATGGCAACTTTTCCGATGTCCTGCATGAAAACGAAGTACCTATAGTTTCGTGGGAAGAATGTAACAAAGAGAGGTCATATAACGGGTATATTAAAGAACGCTTCATGTGCGCAGGATATGAGGAAGGAGGGAAGGACGCCTGCCAAGGAGACAGCGGAGGGCCCTTGGTGTGTCAAGATGACGCAGGAAGATGGGTCCTCGCTGGTGTGGTGACTTGGGGAGTGGGATGTGCGAGACCCCTCAAGTTTGGGGTGTACAGTGATGTACGCCGATTCCTCCCCTTCATTGAAAGCACCATATATGGTATGCAATTAATGAGGCTATGATGTTTAATTAAAATCATTGCTATAAAATCACATATTTTCTTGTTTTCGACATAGTTAATGGAGGGGAATGGTTATGAAACCCGACAAATTTCTTTGTTTTATGTTTTTGTTCTCTTTTTTGGCCTTGACCGTGCACAGAACACTTGTTTACTCCGTTCTGAGGAACTAACCAATAGAAACGTTTTGGTTACGTAATTCATACATAGTGTATGAGCGCAGAACAAAAGATTGTGCACCGTCGTGGACCTTCCAACATACATTTTGGCATCTTTGTTTGCTCCTTTGATTTTTGCCGGGCTTCAGAACCATTTCCCTCTAAAAACTATGTTTTCAATTTAGGGTTTTCCGGGAAATCTTTCTAGCAAACTAAATCTTGCCCAGCTTGCTTAAAATACTGACGTTGAAAAATGTAAACAAGTATTAGGGAACTTTGATTTCAGTTGTGACCATATAAAGAAAATAATAAGAAAATAATGTGTTTGAGGTTACAAATGGTCCAGTTTCGAGTTAATCGAGACCGCTGAAATAAAGGACTAAAGACATACATGTAAAAGGTCAGTCTCGATCTGAAGTAAAATTTTCGCAAATACCGGTGAGGCCGTGGAGTGCTTGCTGAAAAGTCTGTACATTGTTTTGACTTGTTTCATCTTTCGTGATAGTCAATGATGGCGGATTCTCCCCTAAATATCACCAACTATCATGAACTACCATGAGCGTGGTCAAATGGGAAATCCCATCATCAATAATCATGGAGAATTTGAAAAGGCTTAAAATGAATGAAAGTTGATGACTGTCGATGATGGTACATGATAGCTGGTGATCAAACTGAAGCGCGTGCTACAACTATCATCGACTATCATGAACTATCACTCGCGGTTTAACCAGGATTTAACACTGTACTGTTTAATGTTTTCTTTATTTGTTCACAACTGAAATCAAATTTGATCAATTTATTGTTTATTTGAAAGTGTAGCTTCGACTAATATGTATATCTGCATTACCCGTGCCAGGTTACCCAGAATGTGGAGTTCGACCAGTGGCCTCCATTTCCTCCCGCATCGTGGGAGGACGCGAGGCTCGCCCCAACTCCTGGCCGTGGCAAGTCGATCTTCTGGTCAATGGTACTGCTCACTACTGCGGAGGCTCTCTGATTGATCCGTCCTGGATTGTGACGTCAGCGCATTGTTTTTATTTATATACCCAACCGGAGCAGTGGCAAGTCAGGGTTGGAGAACACAACGAGACAAAATTCGAAGGTTACGAAGAAATGATCAATATTGATACGATAACAATTCATCCCGGATTTATACTGGGCAGCGCCGAAGACACTGGCGATTACGATATTGCGATCATCAAACTCAAGCGGCCAGCGGTGTTCCACAAACTGGTGCACTCTATCTGTCTGCCTGAAATGGAAACTCGTTTTGCAACCGGTAAAACCTGTTTTGCCACCGGATGGGGAAAGCAAGACGAAAATGCGGCTGAGTACTCTGACGTTCTTCGCGAAGTGGAGGTGGACCTGGTATCTAAAGAAGTCTGTAACAGCAATATTTCCTACAATGGCCTGCTAAACGAGCGATATTTTTGCGCCGGGTTTCAAGCTGGCGACAAAGACGCGTGCAGTGGTGATAGCGGAGGACCGCTGGCTTGCCAGATTGAGAATGGAAGTTTCGTTTTGACGGGTGTGGTTAGCTGGGGAGAAGGATGCGCTCGAGCTAATAAATATGGCGTGTATTTAGATGTACGGTACATGTTGCCATTCATTGAGAACACTCTTTACGGTATGTCGCCTAACAAGGATTGTTATGATACGGATTTCGGATCTATGTTCAAACATTCATCCGGACCAGAATCCGTGTCATATCAAACCTTGTTAATTGTTCTATTAAATGAAAGTTACTTTACTTACATAAGGATCGGTATTTTCTGGGTGCGTTCGGCAATGTTAAGGTTGAACGATAATGATAAAATTGCTGGTTTACTCGAGATAATATACGAGCTACATCAGGCTACACCAGTTTCCTTACACCGGACACGCTTTTTCGACAGCCCTGTTTCCAATGAGCTGTGATAAATATTGTCGATATAAATTTTAGGTCCGCAAAGCGTACATGTGTGGCTTACTGGTTATATTTGTAATTAAGATACAACTGAATTATCATGAAAAAAAAGAAAGACACTGAAATTCTCAGGTTAAAATAAGCGATAATACCTGGCCCGTAATGGATTTCAAAAATAACCCTTGACTCTCCACTCAAAAGTTAACTTAGCATATAGGTAAATGATACTACAAGATGGGAACACGAGGTGTTTTAGAGCAAAGGTTTCGAAAGTGTGACTAGTGGCGATCATTGCTTCTTTAAGGGACGTTAAAACGTTTTCCAGGTTGACGTCTTATTTGCTCTTTTGACAGTAGTAACAGCGAACGTGTAGAACTGGTCTAATATGTTCTTATAAAATGATATCTCTTTGTGTTGACTATATTCTGTCTTTTTTGTAAATGCCAGTGGGATGTAACCTAAGCTCGTCACACAATCTTTCTCCCTCTCGAGGGGTGGAAAATTGCGTGACTAGCCCAAAGGGCGTGTGTGTAGGAGATTAAGCTGGACTGCGCTTCACCATTTCTAGAACACTTTATCAGTAGCTACAGATAGCAACATGACTCGATAAGAAAAATATTCCTCAATTCTGTTCCCAATCTAATCTTTGACCTTGTCTCCAGGTTATCCTTCTTGTGGAGTTCGCCCAGTTCCCTCTATTTCCTCCCGCATCGTGGGAGGACGCGAGGCTCGCCCCAACTCCTGGCCGTGGCAAGTCGATCTTCTGGTCAATGGTACTGCTCACTACTGCGGAGGCTCTCTGATTGATCCGTCCTGGATTGTGACGTCAGCGCATTGTTTTTATTTATATACCCAACCGGAGCAGTGGCAAGTCAGGGTTGGAGAACACAACGAGACAAAATTCGAAGGTTACGAAGAAATGATCAATATTGATACGATAACAATTCATCCCGGATTTATACTGGGCAGCGCCGAAGACACTGGCGATTACGATATTGCGATCATCAAACTCAAGCGGCCAGCGGTGTTCCACAAACTGGTGCACTCTATCTGTCTGCCTGAAATGGAAACTCGTTTTGCAACCGGTAAAACCTGTTTTGCCACCGGATGGGGAAAGCAAGACGAAAATGCGGCTGAGTACTCTGACGTTCTTCGCGAAGTGGAGGTGGACCTGGTATCTAAAGAAGTCTGTAACAGCAATATTTCCTACAATGGCCTGCTAAACGAGCGATATTTTTGCGCCGGGTTTCAAGCTGGCGACAAAGACGCGTGCAGTGGTGATAGCGGAGGACCGCTGGCTTGCCAGATTGAGAATGGAAGTTTCGTTTTGACGGGTGTGGTTAGCTGGGGAGAAGGATGCGCTCGAGCTAATAAATATGGCGTGTATTTAGATGTACGGTTCATGTTGCCATTCATTGAGAGCACAATAGACGGTACGTTTCGTACTAATTAGAACATAATACCTTCATTTAGCTGAACCGATCTCAAAACACCTGAATTATGAACAGTTCGTCCAATCTTAATCTCAAGTACTTTGTATAAAATTCTGTTGTGGCGTATAATTCCACTCAATAGTTAATTATTTTAAGAGTGTATGTGCACTGTAATGGCAAACATCTTAAGACTCTTAAGACATAGTTGAAGACGTTCGTAAAGCCTGGTTTTCACTAGCGACGCAAGCACAAGCGCGAACAATAATTCTTATTTCACTGTGAAAACGGCCTTGACGCAGGCATACGCAGAAGCGCAAGCGCAAGCACAAGGATCAATCTTTTTTTTCTCTTGTGCTTGCGCTTATGCTTGTGTTTGCGCTGCAACAAGTGAAAACGAAATACCGCCCAGGGATAACACGAGCGCAAGGATATTTACCACACGTGGTTATGTTTGGCCAGGGAAAATGCTGGATCCAGATATTACCCCACGCCCAAACAGTTTGGAAGGTTCGGATGATTTTGCTTGTGCTTGTGCTTAGGTCGAATTTTGTTTTCACTTGAGTCATTCCTATTACTTGCGTTTGTGCTTGCGTTTGTGCTTGCGTTTGTGCTTGCGCTTGTGCCTGCACTTGTGCTTGCGCTTGTGCTTGNTTAAATCGCAACTGCCCATTACAAGTCGCGACAAACGCAATGAACTAATCAGAACTCGAGTAATACGTGCTACCGGTGTCGAGCGCAGGAAATCTATTTTGGCTTTACTTCTGATTGGCTGAAAAGAAACACCTCAGCAGACCTGTTTGTATCTGATTAGCTAAACGGCATTGCACAAGACGCAGTTTTTACCCAACGAGAGAGCCAACCAGACGCTGAACTAAAGCAAAGCATGCCAAGTCTTAATTAACAGTTAAGCAAAACGGTTTTTTCCTGAATTTTTTTTCTGTTTTGGTCTCTTATGTTGCCTCGTGTTACATCACACGTTTACTAATAACAATATTTAAAAAGGGACAAGTTTCTTCCCTAGGTTTTTGACGGCAGCAAAAATAAGCACGAGATTACAACATCTCAACTGGAAGAGCCAAAAATGGCGCGGTTTCTGCGAGTCAAGCCAATAGAGTGGCATGGTGACATTGCTCTTAGAGTCGAGATTTATGGCTGCATGCGAGGTGAGCTGTTTATTCCAACTTATTTTTTTGTGGGCTGTAGTCGAGGGTCGTCGGAATACGGTCGGTGAATTCGTGGCCCTTTCGATCGGTATCCCGACTCCGAGAATCCATCGAGCACGCAGTTTAGATGGCGTACTCTTATGACGACAAAATCACGTGCCAACTTTTAGAGACCACGTGCTACTGATTTCTGGTTTTCATTCTAAAGCTCTTGAAGAGCGACCGATTTAGTGGAAAGACAACGTTGCTTGTCCACGTTAAGAGCCTAAAAGACCAAATTATAACAAACAAAATGAACAGGCTCGTGCTACAGAACATCAGTCGTTAGTTATGAAATGTGGTGTTAAGACCTTTGTCGATTTTGTTTGAAATACAGTGATGCAGTCACTTATTTGTAAAAACAATTTACTCTTCTGTTACAAAAGGTGGCACATAAATTTCACCAACATTCTCAAAAATCCTTGTTAATTCCATTCTTATTACACAGAAAAAAAGAACTGATTCTTCTTTAATTTTTTCAGATTTCCCAAAATGCGGAATTCGACGTCAAGAGGAGAATCGCCATTCTCGCCAAAGGCGAATTGTCGGTGGCAGCGAAGCCCGTCCAAACTCCTGGCCATGGCAAGTGGAAATTTTGGTGAATGGTACAAGTCATTGGTGCGGAGGATCACTCATTCATCCGCAGTGGATCATAACAGCAGCGCACTGCGTGGATAAGTTTTACTCCCCCTACCCCAGAGAAATACGCCTCGGGGAACACCACAGTAAAACACTCGAGGGTTACGAGGAGGTTGTTGAGGCCGATAAATCTTATATGCATCCTGGATTTACTCATGATCGCCCAACGTTCATCAGTGCGGGGGATTATGACTTTGCGCTTTATCATCTCAAAAGACCCGCCACTTTTTACAGCCGTGTTAGCCCAGTGTGTCTGCCCGACGAAGACTCCACTATCGCCGAGGATGTCGGCCGAGTCTGCGTCGTGACTGGTTGGGGGCATACCAGTGAGAATGGCAACTTTTCCGATGTCCTGCATGAAAACGAAGTACCTATAGTTTCGTGGGAAGAATGTAACAAAGAGAGGTCATATAACGGGTATATTAAAGAACGCTTCATGTGCGCAGGATATGAGGAAGGAGGGAAGGACGCCTGCCAAGGAGACAGCGGAGGGCCCTTGGTGTGTCAAGATGACGCAGGAAGATGGGTCCTCGCTGGTGTGGTGACTTGGGGAGTGGGATGTGCGAGACCCCTCAAGTTTGGGGTGTACAGTGATGTACGCCGATTCCTCCCCTTCATTGAAAGCACCATATATGGTATGCAATTAATGAGGCTATGATGTTTAATTAAAATCATTGCTATAAAATCACATATTTTCTTGTTTTCGACATAGTTAATGGAGGGGAATGGTTATGAAACCCGACAAATTTCTTTGTTTTATGTTTTTGTTCTCTTTTTTGGCCTTGACCGTGCACAGAACACTTGTTTACTCCGTTCTGAGGAACTAACCAATAGAAACGTTTTGGTTACGTAATTCATACATAGTGTATGAGCGCAGAACAAAAGATTGTGCACCGTCGTGGACCTTCCAACATACATTTTGGCATCTTTGTTTGCTCCTTTGATTTTTGCCGGGCTTCAGAACCATTTCCCTCTAAAAACTATGTTTTCAATTTAGGGTTTTCCGGGAAATCTTTCTAGCAAACTAAATCTTGCCCAGCTTGCTTAAAATACTGACGTTGAAAAATGTAAACAAGTATTAGGGAACTTTGATTTCAGTTGTGACCATATAAAGAAAATAATAAGAAAATAATGTGTTTGAGGTTACAAATGGTCCAGTTTCGAGTTAATCGAGACCGCTGAAATAAAGGACTAAAGACATACATGTAAAAGGTCAGTCTCGATCTGAAGTAAAATTTTCGCAAATACCGGTGAGGCCGTGGAGTGCTTGCTGAAAAGTCTGTACATTGTTTTGACTTGTTTCATCTTTCGTGATAGTCAATGATGGCGGATTCTCCCCTAAATATCACCAACTATCATGAACTACCATGAGCGTGGTCAAATGGGAAATCCCATCATCAATAATCATGGAGAATTTGAAAAGGCTTAAAATGAATGAAAGTTGATGACTGTCGATGATGGTACATGATAGCTGGTGATCAAACTGAAGCGCGTGCTACAACTATCATCGACTATCATGAACTATCACTCGCGGTTTAACCAGGATTTAACACTGTACTGTTTAATGTTTTCTTTATTTGTTCACAACTGAAATCAAATTTGATCAATTTATTGTTTATTTGAAAGTGTAGCTTCGACTAATATGTATATCTGCATTACCCGTGCCAGGTTACCCAGAATGTGGAGTTCGACCAGTGGCCTCCATTTCCTCCCGCATCGTGGGAGGACGCGAGGCTCGCCCCAACTCCTGGCCGTGGCAAGTCGATCTTCTGGTCAATGGTACTGCTCACTACTGCGGAGGCTCTCTGATTGATCCGTCCTGGATTGTGACGTCAGCGCATTGTTTTTATTTATATACCCAACCGGAGCAGTGGCAAGTCAGGGTTGGAGAACACAACGAGACAAAATTCGAAGGTTACGAAGAAATGATCAATATTGATACGATAACAATTCATCCCGGATTTATACTGGGCAGCGCCGAAGACACTGGCGATTACGATATTGCGATCATCAAACTCAAGCGGCCAGCGGTGTTCCACAAACTGGTGCACTCTATCTGTCTGCCTGAAATGGAAACTCGTTTTGCAACCGGTAAAACCTGTTTTGCCACCGGATGGGGAAAGCAAGACGAAAATGCGGCTGAGTACTCTGACGTTCTTCGCGAAGTGGAGGTGGACCTGGTATCTAAAGAAGTCTGTAACAGCAATATTTCCTACAATGGCCTGCTAAACGAGCGATATTTTTGCGCCGGGTTTCAAGCTGGCGACAAAGACGCGTGCAGTGGTGATAGCGGAGGACCGCTGGCTTGCCAGATTGAGAATGGAAGTTTCGTTTTGACGGGTGTGGTTAGCTGGGGAGAAGGATGCGCTCGAGCTAATAAATATGGCGTGTATTTAGATGTACGGTTCATGTTGCCATTCATTGAGAGCACAATAGACGGTACGTTTCGTACTAATTAGAACATAATACCTTCATTTAGCTGAACCGATCTCAAAACACCTGAATTATGAACAGTTCGTCCAATCTTAATCTCAAGTACTTTGTATAAAATTCTGTTGTGGCGTATAATTCCACTCAATAGTTAATTATTTTAAGAGTGTATGTGCACTGTAATGGCAAACATCTTAAGACTCTTAAGACATAGTTGAAGACGTTCGTAAAGCCTGGTTTTCACTAGCGACGCAAGCACAAGCGCGAACAATAATTCTTATTTCACTGTGAAAACGGCCTTGACGCAGGCATACGCAGAAGCGCAAGCGCAAGCACAAGGATCAATCTTTTTTTTCTCTTGTGCTTGCGCTTATGCTTGTGTTTGCGCTGCAACAAGTGAAAACGAAATACCGCCCAGGGATAACACGAGCGCAAGGATATTTACCACACGTGGTTATGTTTGGCCAGGGAAAATGCTGGATCCAGATATTACCCCACGCCCAAACAGTTTGGAAGGTTCGGATGATTTTGCTTGTGCTTGTGCTTAGGTCGAATTTTGTTTTCACTTGAGTCATTCCTATTACTTGCGTTTGTGCTTGCGTTTGTGCTTGCGTTTGTGCTTGCGCTTGTGCCTGCACTTGTGCTTGCGCTTGTGCTTGCGCTTGTACTTGCGCTTGTGCTTGCGCTTGTGCTTGCGCTTGTGCTTGCGCTTGTGCTTGCGCTTGTGCTTGCGCTTGTGCTTGCGCTTGTGCTTGCGCTTGTGCTTGCGCTTGTGCTTGCGCTTGCGCTTGCGCTTGCGTTTGTACTTGCGTCGCTAGTGAAAACCAGGCTTAAATGACTGGCTAAGGGGCTGTTGCATAAAACTGAAAATCTGATCACCCTTGCTCAAAGCGCATATTTCTCACCGATACTTTGCGTTTCGAAATTAAAACATTATCTTCCTTTATGGGAATCTGAAAAGCCAACATTAAGCATGCCGGCACTGTTATTATAAAAGGTGCAATTGTGTAAGATCAAAGAGGTTTTGCTAAGGTTGTTTTATTCGTTGATTTGCTAGGATTCTTAGTTTTGATTTTGGATAAGAATGTTTTCTTTTATTCCGTGTAGGTTATCCAAAATGTGGCACTCGCTTTCTTACCGCGCAAAGTTCTCTCGCGGTCAACGGAAGCGAGGCTCGGCCCAACTCCTGGCCGTGGCAAGTTGAATTGCTCTTCAATGACACGCATGCGTGTAGCGGTTCTTTAATTGACCAGCGTTGGATCGTGACGTCAACAGCCTGTGTGAACTCAAGCCATAATCCTGAAAACTGGAATGCACGACTCGGTGAGCACAATAGAACAGTTCTTGAGGGATACGAAGAAACTATCAAGATTGATAACATTTTAACAAGTCCGCTGGGCCACATTACACTGATGAAAATGAAACGTGTTGCAGTTCTTCACCAGCGTGTGACTCCAGTGTGTCTTCCAGAAGAAAATACAACGTTTCCCGTGGGGTCATCGTGTTATGTGAGCGGTTGGAGGTCTACGAAAAAGGAAGGAAATCCCACAGTTGTGTTAAACGAGGCCCAAGTTGAACTGGCCTCATCGGAGCTGTGTAATACGTCATACGGTGGAATGGTTACCAAGTATGAACACTGTGCTAGTACCCCCCCAGGAAAGGATGAAGTTTGTAATGTCGAGAATGGTACGCCACTTGTTTGTCCGGGGAGAAATGGAACATTTGTACTGGCAGGAGTAGCGTCTTCCGAAGATTGGTGCTCAAACCCTGGACAATATGGCGTCTTTATCGATGTTAAAATGATGCTTTCGTTCATAGAGAGTACCATTGCACCGAAAAAGGAGGCAATTAGTGTTTAGCTACTTTGTTCCATCATATTTTAGTAAAAAGAGACTTCTTCATAACTGTTATTTGGGTCGTCAGCTGCAGTCTAAATTAACCTCCAAAACAACAGCTGCGAAGGGAACTTTAGGGCTTTTCTCCGTTAAAACAAGATTTTGTTGAACCTTTCATTCAAAAACAGGAAAACGCGTTTATTATCAAGGAACTATTGACGTCTTGTACAAAAAAGTAAGCTGTGTCAAAATCTTCATGTATATGCAACTGTCCTTTCACAAGGTTATGGTTTACGTGTTAACGGAGCTTGCAACCTTGAAAAATTCATTTCTTTTACTTTGTATAGTTTGCGAAAACTCTCCAAATCTAGCTTTTGCAAATAATTTGTAAAAACGATACTAACCAAAAAACCTGGTTTACATACATATCATCGTTTGTCTTTTCATTACCATATTAATCGAAACTAAGTCAAGCCTATTTCAGTATGCAGCAAGTGTAAAACACAAAAGCAAGTAAAGAGCAAAATAGACGAGATAAAACAGCAAATATAAACTCGAACACATTCAAGTGCAATGCCATCTTGGAGAAGTACCTTATTAAAATTCTTGTCGATTTGTATCACTTGCATGCATAGACCAGTTTTCTGAGCCGTCGAAAACTGACTCGTTTTGCTCTTACTATGCCACACGATTGGCTTAAAACTTGCACCACTCTTTCATCCAATCAGAAGTAAAAGCAAAACCAATCGTGACTCACTCGCACGCGCTTCCCCGCGGTTTGCGTCAGCTACTTGTAATTACTTCGAGTTTTGAATGGTTCATTGTATTATCTGTTTACTTTAGAGCGGTTTTCAGTTGACTGTCGAAAGTAATCAGGCAATTACTTTGGTTTTGGTTTTGGTTTTACTACGGCCGGTTCAAGTTTGGTTGAGTAGTCTAATTGGTAAGTAATTGGTTTAGTTTGGTTTTACGACACTCAACACTCAACCGCTCTATCTTTTTACTGCAGACTAGAACGGTTTTCAATTGAGTGTCGAAGATAATCAGACAATTACTTTGGTTTTGGTTTTACTACGGCTTGAGATTGGCTAACTGGTATGTAATTGGTTTGGTTTTGGTTTTACGACACTCAACTGAAAACGCCCTATTGGATACGTTTTAAGGCAGAACATTACAGCCTGGCCTAAAGTGGACACCGCTCGCTCTTTCTGATGACCATTGTTCCCCTAGAGGGTAAACCACCAATGATGTCTCTCCAGTTTTCGCTGTTTGAGCTGGCCTCTGTACTGGATGACGTTCACTATTCAGTCGTGTTTAGTAATCTACTGGATATTGATTTATTCAGCGGTTAACGTTATCCATCCTTGAACATTCCGGGACTGCAATTTATAATTTTGCTAATTATATAAGGTCTTTGGCGTTGCTCGTTATGACCAATAATCTCGCCAATTGAAAACTTTCGAACTTAAATTTACCGCTCAATCCGCAGCCATTTGCTTTCTTTTTTGTTTAGTAGTGAAGAGTCTTGCGCTGTAAGTCCGAGCTGTCACGATTCTTGAGTCTCGTCTCCATTTGTTGACTCCTCCGACACACTTTCTGCGCTCTCAGATCTGCTATCTTCGCTAGGTGGTGGAAAGTTCTTCAATCCGTCAAGTCGCTCACGAGCCGTTTTGAGTTTCTCCTCGAGAAGCATTGCTCTCGCCTGGGCCTCAAGCATGTCCGTTTTAGCTGCACCCTGTTCTTGTAGCTTGCTTTTCTGCGCCAAGGTATCGAGATAAGCACTGGTTCCTCTCGGTTTTGCTTCGTATTTCGCAAACGTTCTCGGCGATATTGGCTTTGTGCTTTCTCTGCGAAGATTGTCACGCTCCAACCTTACAGCTTCATACATTGTATTTAAATCTTGGATCTTTTGTTTGCCCTCATCGAGTTCTCTTTGGAGAGTTTTTATGGTATCGACCGCCTTCTCGTCCGCTTCCAAAATCAAGAGCCTTTGCTGCATCATCTTCAGTTTCTGCTCCAGTTCTTTTTTCTCTCGTTGAACTTTCTCCTTATTGTCTTTTAGCATTGCCAACCTCTTGTTCGCTAGCTGAACCTCATTGTTCAGTTGATCCTTCTCCAGCATTGCCTTTTGCAGCTCGGCTGATTTGAGCAATTCCTTGTCTTGAAGTTGGTCTTCAGAATTGTTTATCTCCTCCAGGAGATTGTCATAGGCAATCTTCAAATCTTTGTACAGCTGGCGAGTGGCGGAAATCTCCAACCTCAGTTTCTCGTTTTCTGCTTTTTCTTTCATCGAACTCGACTCGAGCTCAGGAATCTTTCGTCTCAACGCGTCGAGGTCCTCTTGCACTTCCTCATGCTTGTTCATCAAAGTCAGAAATTCAGTTGCCTTTGCACTCATTTCTTTAGTTGCCGCTGAAAGTTCGTTTTCAAGCTCGCCGTTTTCTCTTTGTAATTTCTTTATTGTTTCATTTTTCTCTCGGAGTTCTTTTGCGTCTATATCACGGTCGTGCTTGTCTTCTCTCAGCCGACTTTGCAGCTGTTGCAACTCCTTTCTCAGTTTGCCATTTTGCTCTTTTGCTTCTTTGACCGAGAGATTTGCCTTTGCTTGTTCTCTGGCAGAATTGTATAATTCCTCCTCCAGCGACGAAATCTTGTTCTTGCTAGATTGCAAGTCCCTTAGCAGCTCGTCTTTGTTACTGGCGTTTGATTGCTTCGTGCTCTCTAACTCAGAAACGCTCCTCAAGGCCTCCAATAATTCCTTTTTCTGAGAGTCCAACTTGCCTTGACTATTTTCCAAGGAGTTTTCAAGCTGTGAATTCTTTTGTTGAATCTCTGCTAGTTGACCCTCTAAATGGTTAATCATTTCTTTGTAAGTGGCATTGCATTCTTCCAATCCGGACACGGTGTTTTGGGTGGAGTTTAACTCTGATTCAATTTCGTTCATGGTTTTGGAAACCGTCTGCAATTCATTTCGGTCGAGTTCAGTTTTGCGCAACGACTCTTCGAGCTCGGTTATTCGACTATCCTTCCATGCGATTTCTTTTTCCAAAGAATCTTTCACTGTAAGGTAGGTGTTGTTTTCTTGTTCCAGCTCGAGAATCTTCTCTTTCAAGCTAGTATTCTTGTTTTCAGCGTCTTCTTTTTCAAGTGCAATGTTAGAATAAGCGTTCTCCAGCTCAATTAATTTCTTATGGCTGACGAAGTCTGGCTCCATTTTGTTCGTGGGTGTCTGTGGTTTTTTCACGGGTGAACTTTTAGGAGTATGAACTTCATTCAGTTTGCGCTGCAGTCTGTCGTTCTCATGTTTTAAAGCCTCTATCTGGATTTCCTGCTCTGAGCACTGCCTCTTCATTTTATTGAGCTCATCTTTAAGACTTTGTTTACCTTCATCAGACACGGCGTTTTTGGCCTGGAGTGCTGCGATAACGGGACCTTGCGACATAAGTTCATTGTTCAGTTTCTTGATCTCTTTCTGAGCGTTTTGGAGTTGCGTTCTGTGCTCACTGGCGCTCGCTTTAAGCTCAGTTAGGTCCGTCTGCAACTTTTTGTTTCGCTCCTTCAACTTTGAAACGCTGTGATCTAGCTCCGAGATCCGATTATCCTTTTCTTGGATAATACCGTTAAGCTTTTGCGCTTCTTGATCAAAAGCTTCTTGTGCTTGTTTGTTTTTTAAAACTGCTCTTCTCAGATCCCCTTCCAAATTCGTTTTCGTATTTTCCAAGAGGAGAACTTGTGCGTCTTTTTCCGTCAATGCTTTTTTGTAATCTTTTACTCCGCCTTTGAATTGTGAAATATCCTTCATAAGGCTGTCGTAGTCTTCTCTGGCTTCCGTCAACTTGTGACGCTCATTTTCCAGCCCTTCTCTCAAGGCAGCAATTTCCCTTTGTTTCTGTTGGATCTGCAGTTGCAGTTCTTTTATCATCTTCTGGTGTTGTGCTCCGCTTTTGCGGAGCTCGTCATTTTCTTCACTAAAGTCCTTCTCTCTAGTTTCATATTCTGCTATGATTTTCTTCAACTGGAAATTCTCATGGTCGAGCTCTCTGTTGTTCTTTAAAGTCGAGTTCATCAAGGCGTGGGCCGAAGACAGCTCGTCTCTTAGTGCCTCAATGTCCTTCTCCAAGTATTTCTTTTCGGACTTAACTGTATCTACAACAGTCTCATTGCCTTCAGCTGTCCTTGCACTGTGGTCCCATTTAGTTTGTAGTTCCTGGAGCTTGCATTGAACCTCAAGAAGCTCGTCCTCGGCTTTCCTGAGCTTTCCTCGTTCTTCCTTCATTTCTTCAGCCAGAAGAGTTTTGGCAGCTTCCAGTTGGTCGTTTTGTGCTTGAAGCTGAGCTACTTTCCCCTCCGTCATCTCCAACTGATCCATCGCTCTGTTTAATTCCTCTTTAGATTTCAACAAGTCAGCTTTCATTTTGTCGACCTTGTTCTGGGACTCATCGTTTCGCGCTTTCAAAACATTTTCCTTGTCTTTCAAGGCGAGCAAGTTGTTTTCCAATTGGGAGCTCTTAATCTTTACCTTCGCAAGCCGATCTTGTAAACTATGTTCGCTTGCGATGCTTTTCTGAAGATTTTCTTCCGTTTCTTTGAGGCTTTCTTTCAATCGCGTTAACTCCGATTCTCCATCCTCGAATTCATCTTCGTCGTATAAGCTACTCTGCAGTGGAGCAGACTGAACAATCACCTGGTTGTCTTGAATGGACTCGAGCTCGATTTTCAACCTTTTCAATAAATCTTTTGTTTGATCCAATTCTTCCCTTAATGTATCATTGTCAGTTCTCAAGCCTTCTAACTCATTTTCCTTGATCCCCAAATCTTTCTTGCTTTGTAACATTTCTCCTTGAAGTTCTGCAATTTGGTTCTCAGCAATAGCACGATCCTCACGTTGCTTGGAAATGGTGTTTTCCAATCTTTTCTCTTTCTTTCTTAGTTCATCTTTCTCGTTGTGCACCTTCACCAATTCTTCATTGATTGACTCAATCTCCGACATCTTCAACTGAAGCTCCTCTTGCGCCATCTGTTCGGTCTTCGTAGCTTTCTGCAGTCGGTCCTTGAGATTTGAAAGACTCCTCTGCTGTGTGATGATTTCTTCTTGAAGCTGTTGATGTCCTCCTCGAAGCTTCTCGCACTCACCGATTGCGCTGGTCAGATTGCTCCTCAACTCCACGGATTTTTCTTCCAAATGTGCCTTTGCAGATTTTAACTCTTCTATCTGGCAATTTTTCAGTTCATTTTCCTTCACGGCTGCATCCAAAAGAACCTTTTGTTCCACGCATTGCTTGCTGAGCTTCAGTATCTCGTTCCGATTTGTATCCCCTCTGTTTGTTGCGTCTTCTAACTGACTTTGCAGAACAAAGTTGTCTCTCTGCTCGTTCTCGTATTTGAGTTCTAAGTCTGATATCTTTCTGTTCACTTCAAGTACCTCTTCACGTAGGGCCCTTCTTTCCTTGTCGCACAGTTCATGTGCTACCTTTAGATCTTCAAGGATTCTTTGAGACTTTGAATTTTCGAACTGAGAGTCGAGGCAATCTTGCCGAGACATTTTGAGGTCATGATCCAGTTTTGAGATTTTGGCCTTATTGTTCTCGATCTCTTTCTCAAGAATGGCTTGCCGTTCTCTGCCTTGTTCTAATAACATCTCAAAGTGCTGCTGATGAGGACGATTTTCCTGTTCTTTGTCTTTGTCGTCTCGTTCTTTTACGAGAGCATCAACAGTGGTCTCATACTGGCTCAGCTTACATTTCAAGGAAGTTACTTCGTCTTGAGCACCTTTCAGCTTTGACTCGCTGGACTCGTGATAGAATGCTGTGGTTTGTAATTCCTTTTTCAGCGCGAGGATTTTATCTTCCATGGAATCCTTCAAGGTTTTGAGCTGCTCCACATGACTGTCCTTTTCAGTCATCTCAACCCTGTAGCTCTCCGCGATTCTTTCTTTTTCTCGAACTTGGTTATGAGCTCGCAGTAGGTCCTCTTGGATTTTCTGAATTTTCTTCTCTGCAGCCTGTAAATCCTCTTTCAAACGCTCTTTTTCTCGAGTTGCTGATCCCAGTTGAAGATGAAGGTTATTCAATTTCGCTGTTTGGCCTCCTAGATGGGCGTTGAGGCGTGTGTTCTCTTCATTTACATCACAAATTTCCTTCTCAAAGAGACTTAATTTCGCCTTTTGCTCTTCGATCTTCCTGGCGAGCCTATTGTTTTCATCCAAAGCGAATTCCTGGGACATTTTCCTTGTGATCAAATCGTTTTTCACTTTATTCAATTCGGCCTGCAAGCCTTTGATTGTACCCTGGACGTCTTCATAGTCTTTCGTCTTTTGCTCCAAGTTGGACTGAGCATATTCTAGCATTTTTCCGCTCTCAGTGGCGACGATTTCCAGCTTCATCAACTCATCCCTCTGGTTAACGATCTCAATGTTTGCCTCAACAGATTTTTCTTTTAGTTCTTCATTCTGTCTTTTCAAAGATTCAATCTGTACCTCGTATTTGGTGATCTTGCTCCATAAATCCTGAAGCTCTTGCTCGCATTGAGTTCTTGTCTTGCCGGATTCGTCCAGATCCTGTTGCATTTCAATTATCTTTTCTTCCATTTCCATTCGCCTTCTGATTGCTTGATCCCTTGAAGTCATAACTTCGCCCATTTGGTGTTTCAATAAGTTTGATTTCTCCTCAAGATCGTCAACCTTGGAACGAAGTTCTTCTTTTTCTTTGGCATGGGTTCCACTCTGCAACTCCAATGCTGCAATTTTAGAGCGATATGAAGCGATGTCTGTTTCCTTGTAGACGAACTTGTTACGTTCTTCCTGCAGAGTCTTCACCAGATTGTTTTCCTTCTCCCTGTTTTCCTTCAGATTAGATTCCATTGTCTCAATTTTCTTTTTGGCCACTGACAAGTCGATCTCAAGGCTACCTTTCTCTTGCATTGTGTTTTCGCATAGGTCTGTTAGACGGGTGATCTCTTCCTCGCTACTTTTCAACTTCAAGGCAAGTCTTTTTAGCTCTTCTTTGCTTGTTTCATTTAGCGAATCCTTATAGGACAACTCGGTTCTCAGTGTACCCAAGTCAGTTTCCAGAGAACTTATCTCGTCCTTCAGCCGCTCAACGACTAGCTCCTTCTCTGCCACTTGTTGTCTAAGACCCTCGCACTCTCTTTGAAGCTCCTCCATTTGCCTCTGTATAGTGCTTTCCTCGTCATCTTTTCTTCTCGCATTCGTATTGCTCTCGTAAAGTTCCAGTTCCAGATGGGACTTAGTTTTGGACGCTTCTTCCAAGTCTTCCTCCATCCTTGTCAGTCGTTGTATATTCAAAGACATTTCATGTTCTTTCTCCCTGATGCCTTGCTCAGCCATCTTGACCTTCGACTGTAGATCAGCAATGGTTTTATTAGCTGCTTGAAGTTTTTGGATTAGGTCTTCTTTTTCATTCTCGGCCATCTTAAAATCCACTTGCATATCTGCCATGTCCCTTTGAGTCTGTAAGAGGTCATCTTCGATTTCTTGGTTTTCCTTTTTGTATTGCTCGTGCAGCTCTTGAATTGCGGTGTATTTTTCACTGAGTTCGTGATATTTCAACTCCATGTTTGCAGTCATGGCCTTCAGCTCAGCAATAGTCGTATCTTTAATTGCGAGGTCCTGTTTGTAAGCGTCTTGGCTTGCCCTGTCTTCTGAAAGGTTTTTCTGAAAAGTTGTGTAGACTTTCTGTAAATTTAAGAATTGTTCTCTCTCTTTCTCAAGTTCTTCTCTAAGCTGAGATCTTTGTGCTTCACCGATGTTCGTTTGGACTTCCATTTTATGCATTTCCTCGCGAGTTTCTTTTAGCTTCATCTCCAGATCTTTGTTTTCTTTCTCTTTCCTTTGAAGTGTAAAGCGAATTTCTGTCGACTGCCTCTTGGCTTGTTGTAGAAGTGTATTAGCATCCATTCGTTCATCCTTAGGGTTCTGGACATTCACAGAGTGCGACTCTAACTCTGCAATTTTGTCTAGTGATTCTTTTAGCTGCAAGTTGAGCTCTTCATTTTGTGATAGACTGCGACATAATTCGGCTTCTTTTTCAGAAAGCTTGCGACTCACCATGGACATACCGGCCTCTAAGTCCTGATTCTGTTGTAAAAGATCTATTGTATCCGCTGGTGATTCCAATTCCGTTTTGAGAGACTCCGAATTAGATAGGTCATCGGACTCGTTGTCTCTCTCCTTTTTAAGATCACGAATCATCATTTCGAGGTCTCTTATTCGCTCCTTGGAATAAAAGCTTTTGACTTTCAAGTCGTTTAAATCACCCTCTGAGCTTGTTAACCTCATTTGTGTCTCAGATAACAGTTGGTCAAGTCTTGCCTTGTCTTGTCGGGTAATATCCGAGCTTTCTTTTAACTCAGCAAGCTGAGTTTTATTGGCCTTTAGTTCCCCGTTACAAGCATCAAACTTTCCTTTATAAATCTTAACTTCGTTTTCTAATCCAGAACAGTTTTCTCGATACATTTGAAGTTGATTTCGGATGGCGTCTAGTTTCTGCAATAGAGGGCAATTTTCCAGCCCACTTTTCTGCATTTCCTGAAATCCTTCTTCCGCCTGCATTGCCGCTATCTTTTTTGCAGCCTCATGTAAATCATGTTTCAGCGCCTGATTCTCTTCCTGAAACATTTTACAACGCTCCTGACAGTCTTGAAGGTCTTGCCTTGCTCGGGATAGTTCAGTGCTCAATTCCACAATATCATCGTTACCATTTCCATTGGACAAGTTAAGACTTACCAGGTCCCTCTTCAAAGCTTGCAATTCTTTATCTAACTCTTCTTTTTCTTCTTGTAGCTTTTTTATGATACTGTTTTTCATCTCCTGGTTACCGCTGTTCCAGCTTTCGATCTCCGTACATCTCTGTTGGCTCCTAAGCAGGTCTTCTTGGTATCTTTTGCCATTCTCTCGCGCCTCTACAACTTTGTCCTTCAGTCTCATGTTTTGTTCGGTGAGCTCTTTGATTCGCATTTCCAGATTGTTAACCTGCAAATTATAGTAGAAAGAACAGTTAAGATTACCATTTCTTCATTGTGCAGGTTATCATGCAACAGTTTTTTTAACGGATGGGAGTGGACCCTAATCGTACGAATTCCGTACTCCTTAGCTTTTGACAGTTACTAACAGGCTTATATACCCTTATATTTAACAATGCAATTATGAGCTCGAGAATTCTTTCGCATGATGCAGTAAAAACTCGCGTGTAAGAACCTAGTGGTTTAAGAACCTGCTGTCAGAAATTTGTCATTTTAAAACCCCAAAATATAAGAACTTGTTTAGCCCAGCAATTATTACGCAGGTTCTTATACGTGGGTTAACAGTTAAATAATGAACGCTTGTCGTAGAGGCAAGAGTACCATCCTGTAATCCGTTGTGTTAGGCTTATCACTATACAATTGTGAATAAGTACTGTATATTTGGAGACCAAACCCAAGTTTATTGATTTTTCTGGTAATCAACTATGTCTCCTTCATAGAAATTACGAACCTAATAAGAACCTACTTAGCCTAACTTAGCCAATAGCTACCCCAGAATAAAAGAACGTATTTTGCCAGACTTGAAGGTTCTTACACGTGGATTTTAACTGTAGTCAACTATCACGCAAAGAAATCGAGAGCGAGTAATCTAATTGTTTTACTATAAAACAAAACATTATCGAAATCCTCTTCACATACAGTTCGAAAACGCGAAGAAGCGGCCGCCATTTTCTTAACAACCGCACACTGCTATGCTACTCAGTACCTACAACAGAATACATAGCGAGTAGTGTAGCCATTAAAAGAACGGGATTCGTGATAGAAAGCTAGTAGATTTTTACTTCGATTTTTATTAAAAGTAAAAAAAAAAATGATATCCTAACTTTGAGATCTCGAGTGGTAAGAGTATTTATTATTATTATTTTGTTATTTCTTTATTTATAACTCCTGATTTAAGGGCATTAGACGAGCGTCCAAAATAGTTTTGGTGGGATGCAAAACTAGAAATTTGACGGAGTGGGATTCGAGATGAAATAGCCATGTCGGAAAGCAAAATATGCTATATTGGTAGCCAACATGATACGTGGGAAAATATTGAAGCATTCTGCCATAGAACACTTGGCACGAGAATTCTGAGAGGCGCGAGACGACGGGACGGGACAAAAATTAAAGGCATAAGGCTGGAATGAAAAATCCAATTTTGCACCCTCCTAGACCTGTTTGTAAACATATGATGAAAGCGTGTTTTAAAACGACTGTTGATTTTAATTCATCACAGATCACTGAAAACAAGCAAGGATTGCGTTCTGACTCGACAAAGGCTACATTAGCAACTAGGCTTTGCGAAATATCGAAAACAGGTTGAAAAACTCGACTGCAAGTTTTTTTTTGTAAAGTCTTGCTCAAGAATGAAATGCCTTAACTCTTCGTGTGAAGTCTGTGATAAGCAAATCTTTTGTGTTGGATAGTAACTGGAAATATAATTTGTGTGCCGTAAAACAAGGCTGGAAAGTAAGTATGTTTATCTCACTCACCTTATCGTCATCATTATCGTGCCACTTTTGCAAGGTTTTCTGTCCATGGCTTCCTTCATCCACAAATAAAACGTTGTTATTGACCAGCTCTCGATGCGTGTCAGCCATGTTCAAATCTGGCCGTTCGTTTTACAGTTTGAAAAAAGTGTATATGCGTCCGGTGTTTATGGTAGGTTTTAACCCGCCATGAAATACAAACATGCGCGAAAATGCACTTTCCAAAATTAACACTCCTCTAACAACTTTGTCACATTCTTGTATCTCCACTTGAAACCTCACACTTTTCACAGGCAGCGACGTCAAACAATTCGTTTTGAAGTTATCGGTTTGAAGGCGTACTATTGTGTTAGTGGAATCTTGTTGGTAATGACATGCAAAAGTGCCTGCTACTACACAATGCGTGTTTATAGGAATCGATCGATACGATATCTCATGGGAGTTAAGCGGGAAAACAAAGACCTGTATTGTTTTCTTCTTAAGTTATTTGTGTTGACTGGACACGTTTTACAATTCAATAACAGAGGTTGACTCTCGAAGGGACATTTTTTTTTTTTAGGCTTAGTCGTTTTCCAGTTGATCTATGACAAGAATCAAATATTCGTTCTTTTCTTAAATTTGTTGAAGTGTCCCCGTAAACCGAATTTTGCATGCTTCGAATATCTCGGAAAAAAAAAAACTACTTGAATTCATGCGTGCTGTCTAAATCCTTGTCAAGTACGGTCTTTTCTGAGTCTTTTCAGTTGCTGGTCATGGGTGCGCGTGCGCGATCCTCTCCACATCTCAGGAATACCTAATTATAGCAACATTGGAAACAAGCTTGTGTCTTCAGTCGCAAAATGTTGGAATGTACTCGTTTTGTGTCAGTGATTAGGAGCAGCGATCCATTTGACATTGAAAAACAAAACCAAACAAACAAAAACTGAGCACAAAAAGAGGAACTATAATAAGACAAGCTGAAGATGAATATTTGGATTTTACTGCTTTTAGTTTAAAAACAACAACTGCTCCTCCAGTAAACGTTACATAAATATCCTACGTGAAAGCACGATGGTTACAAGGCTATGTGATAGCTTATTTAACAGTGGTAGCGCTGGTAAACTGTGGTTAAAAAGATCCTAAAACAACTGATGCCCTGTTTTCACGAGAGAAGTTTACTACGGTTACTGCTTACCGAGGTTTCGTAACTAAACCGCAGTTATTAGAAAAGCTGTTTACACGAAACTAATTAACTAAAGTAGGTCGCATACAACGGACTGTTTGAGGTTTTCTCGGAAAGCAAGTGCTGCAACGTTGCTCAAAAACTATTGGAAAATTATAAAATTTGACTTTACTCCAATGCCAAACGCAGGTCGTTGTCAGTTTGCTTGCGGTGATGTCGAGCCAAACTCTCCTTAAATGTAAAGCTTTGTAGATGAATAGTGGAAAAAAAAATTGATATCTAGCTGAGCCACTTCCCGCAAAAAACCTGAAACGGCATCTGCCACGGAACCTGGGCTACGTAAATGTTTATGGGTACTTCTTATTCGGGGCCGCTTTAAATTCTAACATTTGCTTTTCTTCTCCATAGCCCTCAATTATGAATTTTTTCTGTCTATTTGTGGTACGCGTTCTTCTAGTTGTATCTGCCTGTACACTGCTACTAAGCCACTGACCTTCTAACAGAAAGGAAACGCTTACGGTACTTGACGATGAACGGGAAACAGCAGTCCGGGATTTCTTTGCCTGAACATGAGTTTATTTAGCTTTTTTGCCCGTTGACTTCAAACCTATTTACATTAGGAGTAATCTGCCAAAATATATATTGCGACAACGTCTGCTTTTCCTCGGTTACCTTCGATTACTGAGCTAAACCATGCCTGATGAGGCGTTCAACTGTCGACAAACCTAGGTTGGCTTACTTTTGATCGATTTTGCCGCCATTTACCGAGGGTTGCTACTGTGTTTACATGATTAAAAATTTCACTTCAGTAAAGTTAAAACAAAACCAAGGTAAGCATCTCTCGTTAAAACACGGGCTGAGACGGTAAAGATGACTAACTAAGAGGATACTTGCAGGCCATCGGCTCTTCGGAAGTCTTCGGAAGAGTTTAAAGGGTCTTCGGGCACCTTCGAAATAGCCTAATTTGTTAGAAGGCCCGAGTTCGTAGCTAGCCAATCCTAGACTCGGATCATCCGACCTATCAGGCTACTGGAACTATTCAGGGAAGTATCTCTACAAACGCACAAGGTACTCATCAATTTTGCAAACATGCGTAACCGAAGAAGAGACAGTGAAAATGCATCTGCCCTGAGTCTCGTACATTAGCATATTGTCTTCCACTGTATTTGGAATATCTTGAGCAAATTGCGTTTTCGCATCTATTCAATATCCTGACGGAAAAATCTCTTCCTGTCCAGAGCAAACAATTAATTTATCCTTGTGAGAAAGTGTCAGTCTTTTCCTAGCTTTCCACTTCAACGTAATCGGCGCACAGAATTGATGGATAATGAGATTAAATTTACAATGCCCATAAATTTCTTCTTTATCCGACCAACATTAACAGATTAAGCTGAAGCTGTAACAATATTGTGAATGCCCATCGTTCAAAACAAAACTTTCAGTTTGTTTTTCGAGTTGCATACAGCGGGATAAAAATTTTAATTTAGTGCTTGTTTCCTCAGCTGAGCCTTAATTCGATATGCTGCAGGTTTCTATGACAACTGACTTGTCACGACTTCGCAAGCAAACACAGGGAAAATAGTAAAAAAACAACCAAAATACGTGTAATTACAGAAAATTAAATGATAAATTATCAAGATTTCAAGGAGAGATAATTCAATTTCTGAGGCTAATAATAATAATATCATGATTATCGGAAAGTTTTTTTCTCAGCTTATGCAGAAAATCGCGCGAAAAAGTGTTGAGTGAATTACTTGAAAGGGGATACCTTTTTTACTTAATGTCTGTGTTTCCATTTGCTTTTGTCAGCAAAGATTTCATGTTCCTTTATTAAGCTCCGTCTATTTCAAATTCTAGAGCAATATACGTCTAATTTTGGGAAATATGAATTGCTTGGGATAGATTTTAGATAAACAAAAAATTACAAAAATAAACAACTGGATGAAGGCAAGTATTAACATCAAACAAAGGTAGGTTATTTTGATTACAAGAACTCAGAGGATTTGGTATGAAAATCGCATTTGCTACACCACTAATCGGATTTTTCTTTCACCCAGTAAGTTGTTCGGCATCGGCTCGAGTATTTAAAGTTTAATCTCGACTGATTGCCTCTGAGCTGACACATCCGTTTTCAATATTTCGATGTTCGGCGATTAATTTTGGGATTAAAGTGTGGGCAGCGAAAGATATCGAAGGGACTTTAGACAATTCGGTCATTAGTTTTGTCTCTTGGTTTCAAAGCGCAAGATAATTTCCTGATCCTTGACGGTCATCGCCTCACTACGACAGTGAGAGCTAAACAGGACACCTTTTGCAAGAAAGCCGAGGAAAAAAAAAACACACCCATTGAAAATTAGACTTAGTGAGAGACAGTGCTAAGTTGGCGTTTACTAGCCTGATTTGGACTGAAGAGCAAAAGTCTGGCGATATATACAACAGCATGCTTTGGACAAGCGGACGGACGATTTACTCGGTGGCAATAATATTCCTCGCTGTTGCGGAAGCCACAACCGCCAGCAATTCGACCAAGCAGTCGCTGACATTTACCACTACGACTGTAGCTGTTTCTACCATGGCTCTTGCTATTGTGATGGTGTTGGCATTATTGGGTAACACGCTAGTTTGCTTCGCATTTTATCATTCAACCAACCTCAGGTGCGTCACAAACGTTTTCATCGTCTCATTGGCGATAACTGATATCCTAGTAGCGTCTGTCTCCATTCCGATCTGGCTCGTGATTCAGAACTCGGAGTGCATCAACAACTGGTCGACTTGCGATCCTATTCTCATGGCGTTTTGGAAATGCTTGGACATTCTGTTTTCCACCGCTTCAATCATGAACTTGTGTGCCATCAGCTGCGATCGATACATAGCTATTACTTCGCCCTTGAGGTATTCTCAAATTATCACCAAAACCCGCGCAATAATCGCATTAATTTGCCTGTGGTTGTACTCAACATTCATTGCCACCATCAATCTACACGGAGGGATCTACTACCCAACCCTGGTTTTCGTGGTTTCCTTCCTCCTTCCTCTCTCGGTGATGATTTACTCGTATTCTCGCATCTTTCTAGCGGCTCTTCACCAAGCGCGTCGTATTCAACCGATGCGGCAAGCGTTCTACTTCAAGCGTGAGATAAAAGCGGCCAAGACTCTGGCGATTGTGATGGGCGCGTTTATCGTGTGTTGGACGCCGTTTTTTGTGATGAACATCCTGGTGCAGTTTGTCACATTCTACGTGCCACCGATAGTGACTCTAGCAATAAAACTGCTCCATTACGGAAACTCCGCGTTAAACCCTGTCATTTACTCGAGTTCCAACCGCGATTTTAGGCACAAGATTTTGCGCGTTCTTCCATGCAAATGCGGTCAGCTTCACAGCAATCTTGGCGACGCTGTTGCCCAGTTTTGGACCGCCAGTTTTCGCACTACTTTCGGTGTGAGCACTACCTTCCGTAACGAAAGCGCTATCGAGAGAAGTAATAGTGTCGATGGAGAGATCACAAGCACCCGGGGACACACGAAAGACGAAAACAGCGTTGACGCCCCTTATGGAACCAAGGTGATGCGTCTTTGTAGCTTGTGAGACCTGCCGTAACTTGATCCTTACCAGTTAACACATTCAGAATTTAACTTGCAATGAGCTCCCTTTTGAAAAGAGGCCTATGTCGGGTGCCGCAAAAACACACCCGCAAAAAAGAAAGAATTAAATTAACAGAAGGTGTGTGGCATTACAGCTTGTATGTTCTCATCTAATGCACCATAATGATTTTGTTGCAAAATGTTCCTTGAAACTTGAGGCATATTTTTTTTTTGCGGTTATTACGGTGGTTTTCAAAGGTTTTATTATCACATACAAACCTAAACATTTATTTCATCGCCTCTCCCATGAACTTAACATTTTTTTGCGCTAAGACTCGCTGTAATGTATGCAAGGGATAATTCACGAAATTACTTGCTTTTGTAAGTTTATCTTTTTCCCTCATGTGTGCTGTAAACATTCATGAGAAATTAACATTTTGTTTCCATGGAAACATCGATATCAGGACAAGTTGATAACCTTTTCACTAGGAAGATTAATTTCATTTGTCATTTCCTTCATTGGTAAGATATACGGTCATAAATTTTGCACTCTTCCAAACCCAATTCATTATATACAATGAAGAGAGCAGATTTTCATGCAATGTTTAGAAGACTCGCGTGGTATATGAAGTTTCCCTTTTTAATTAATGTCAATTTTTAATAATTTATCAGTAAATTTTTTTTGAAATGTTATGATATAAATGTCCATGCGATAATTAATAACTTGAATATATGCGTCCCTAAGATACCAAACCTGCAAAGACAGCGTATTTAATAAAAGTTCTGCCGAACGTGTTTGCGATTTCTTTGAAATCAAACAACACTTTGACTGAAAGTTGTTCTCTGAACAAATAAAGCTGCTCCAAAGCAGGATGTCGCTTCACGCTTGTTCAAACTATTTTAGCCTACGATACATACCTGTCTCAGGATTCCAGACACTTAAAAATGTTTCACTACTTTTATCATATTAAAAAAATTGGGTTTGGTTGCGGGGGCTAAAAGCCAGCCTCAGTAATTTTTAATGTCCATCAAATTTCAATCTTCCAATTCTTAATGAGGATAATCCTTGCTCTTGGTGTGTATTGAAATCTCTTTGACGTTTCTGATCGTTTTTCTTTCTCAAGAAACTCATTACTTTTTCGAATTTACCTTTCAATGACAGCGGGTGATATTTTTTTACACCACAAAAAAACTTTCTTGTCGTTTTTATATCTTGACCGCCCTTAATGTTTCATTACTCTAGAAAAGGCGTGATTTACCGGTTTTGCAAAGTTGACTTTCAAAGCAATTTAAATGATTTGTTAATTAAAGGGGTGCCATGGAAATCGTTAATAAACTACTAAAATGTTGAGGCAGTTTTTCTTGATTCATCCGTTCCTACTAACTAAACCAGCTGGTTGAAAATTTCAAAAAGTTGGTTACTTGTAGCTTCTTAAGGTCGTGAATTGTGAAGGGTTGGAATCGGACAAGTGCAATAATGCAATCACAACCTCGTTCCCAGGAACCTGGGGGCGGTAAGATGAGAGACTCTGGGAACGAGGTTGATGCAATCATTGCCTGTTTCCTCCACCGTAAAACATGATCCGCGATTTAACGCAATCGAAAAACGAGAAACATTTTTTGGGAACTATTCTTCTGTAGACGTCATCTGCTATTGCGTCAAAGATCGTAAATTGGGTAAAACGCGAAGTGACCGTGTTACCGTGAAACGTGATCCCGCTTTATCAAAGATTGAGATCTGGATAAAACGCCAAGAGACCGTTTTGTACTTCGTGAAACGTGATCCCGCTTTATCACACTCTTTGATCACGGGGTCACCTACCTCAGTAATCTCTACGCAAATTAGACTTGCTTAATTGTTCTGAAACAGATAATAAATTCTTGCAAGGCGTAACCTGCTAAATATCTAATCGTTAAAATTTTGCCATTAGCAACAAATGGTTACGACAAGGAATAACTTAGTCACATCTTGTCACCAAGGAAGCTCACCTTGTACTGGGACACTGTAGATACACTTTACTAATCTTTTACCATAATTTTTAAAACAATTTAGATTTTATTGGTCGATAGGTGTGTTTTGATTAGAGTAACGTATTTCCTCGATTAAACGCCGGCCTCGATAAAACGCCGGGTCCAAACTGCCGATTTTAAAATAAACTCCGGGTGCGTTTAATCTTGGCTCCGGCGTTTGATCGAGGTCCCGGCGTTTATTTTTAAATTTTTCCCTAACCCTAAAAGTTCATAAAATATATTTATAAAACTTTGTACTCATATCATTTACTTGCTCCTGCATCATTCATATATTGCAATTGTTCATGTTTTGTTTGTTAGTGATACAAATCTTGATTGCAACATGGTACACGTGCCGTATGTACGGTACCATAATACTGTAACTTCGAGTAATCCTGGCGCAGGACCCCCCGTGGGGTACTCCCAGAAAAATTTGGTGGGGGTGTGCGGCCCGCTTCCCAAATATGTTACCCTGTTTATGACCAAAAACTGCGAATTTCCCTACCCTATTTATGACCTGACCCAAAATTCGATATCCTATTTATGACCGTTGCGGCTGACATAGTTGCCATAAACATAATTTTTGAGGGGCTTTTGTCTATGGTCATCGATAATGATGAAAAAGAAAAGTAGCCTCTTCTAAAAAACACACCCAATTCAAGAATTGAGTGCAAAAACCATACCCTATTTATGACCAAAACGGCTGAAAAATCATACCACCCTTTAGAGCCGCACGTACCTATAGACGGTAGCCCATATAAGGGAGTACCCCATTCGCGCTTATTTCTGAAAAATATTTTATAAAAACTATAGAGCACAACCTCCGAACCTCCTTCGTGTTTAGATGAGGCTATGTAAACACGAAAAAAGTGCTCTATTGCTCAAATACGGAAAATTAAGAACAGGAATGTCCCCGTTGCGAGCGCGTGGCTCGCTACTTTATCTGGACGCCAGCAAGTCCCAAGCAAGCTTTATAACTCTTTTATAGAGAAAAAAAAAACACAAACACAAACACAAACAAAACAAAAAAAAACTATTTACCTTGGTGAAAACAGGTTTAAGGATATCGACTTTTTTCAGCTTTGCTTTATTTCTTATTACACAGATACACAGATACAGCAAACTTTCAGGACTAGCAATTCCCTGTCACTTAAGTGTCCAACAAATACTTCAAGAAAAAAACAGATCCTGCAAAGATTATCAAAGGATTCAGTGATCTGCGTAGAAAAAAATAAAAAAACATCTGTTATAAGATTGTAAATAATATTTTCAAACTATCATGCTTTGGACACCGTGCATGAAGGGAGAGCTAATACATATTGACACAATTTTCTCTTGAGTAAATACTTTTGTAGTGTCGGCCATGATTTCAATACAAAACTAGGCGCTTTCTGAAATTTTCTGTCTTTCATTGTCCGCTCATATACGCATGCTCCCTTCTCTTCTCGCCCAAGACAACAGGCTAAGGGTGCTCTCGTTTTCGGAAATCAAAGAGACAGAGTTGTGTTATAGCTGCTCTCCGAGTATTCATGGGATAAATATTTGTCCCTCAAAATACTAAAACTGTTTTTTAACCTCCTCGAAATATCTCAACTTTTCTCACCCCTCAGTTAAAATCGCTTGACGTTTTGAAACTGTTCTCAAAACACCTAAAGTTTAAATCCCCTCTAAAATGCCTCAACTACTATAAAACCTCAAAAAGCCAATTTTCACATGTAAATCCATTACGTTTTTGACACCCAAAAATGTATCTGAAAGTTTCAATGTCAGGTCGTTGGACTCACCTAGTTACCACTCCACTTTGTACACATAGTTCGTGCTTCCTTTTCCGACACCGCTCCAACAAGCCGTGCTCGGTCCGTGCTTCATGTAAGTCGAGTCATCTTTATCTACCCAGCATTCGCCATAAAACTGCACGGCAAAGTACTTCTTGCCGGCCTTCTTTGCGGCCTGATAGCACAAGTCAACTGAAAGATATCGAGAGGGTATTTCTTTTCTAGTGCTTCAACAGTTCTAGACTGATGTCTAAGTCCGTGTTACGTTGCGTTCACACTTGCTCTGAGACATGTTTAGAGTGAACACAACGTTTTTGTAAATATTGTTTACACTGGATGTCTGATTCCAGACACGTTTCATCGCCAATTCCATACTACTCTTTCCAGTAGACCGCGGCACCGACAATTTTTTTTTTGCCGCCATCAGAGAAACGTTTTTGATACCGCGAGTTCGTTTCGAACCAATCACGTGGTACATTTGAAACACTGATTGGTTTGAAACTAACTCGCGGCATCAAAAACGTTACTCTGAACGCGGGAAAACATTCGTGGGTGCCGCAGTCTACTGGGAAGTAGTTTGAACAGGTACAGTTGTAAAAGACTGTTTTACTTTCCACAGTGAAACGCCCAGTGAATGCGTATGTCTACAATAAAATTTTAACGCGAGGACGGAAAAGGAACTGAAATGAGAGGGTTAAACTATTATTATTAGCGGACACTTAGTAATGGTACCAGCCACATACAAACACCATTTACAGTTCTAGATAAATAATCGCATTTTTAACCCTCATGAGCGGACACGTCTTGAAGTTGACATGTTTTATGGTCCCAAAGCTGCATTGGTGCGCTTGCATCACTACAAGGTAGATTGAACACTTACCGGTTTTACCGATGTTAAACCAGTCAATCTGGAATCGCAGGTTGACGAGCAGCTGAGACATAGCTCGGTCAAGTTTGTTATCCCTCCAGCATCCCAGATCCGCCCATGGTGCGAATTTGTAAACAAAATTAGCCCAGTGCATACCGGTGCCTTACAGAGAGAGGAAATTAGCAGTCAAGTTTAAAATCATGTTTTATCAATCAGTTCGAATATCAATCCGATTTTTTCTTATTTTATTTCAGTTTTCTAGATTTTCGTTGTTATTGTCACCTTGAATTGTAAGCACTGTTTTCAGACTTTACCGTACCTAAACTCGTAATTAGCCAATCAGAAGCGGTGCCTACTATTCTGGCCCCAGTTGTTCGAAGGCTGAATAATTGCTATCCACCGGATAAACGGCTATCCAGTGGATAAGTGTTAACAAAAAAAACCAAAAAAAAAAACCACGCTATCCGCTGGATAGTGATTTATACGGTGGATAGTTTTGTCCACCTTTCGAACAACCCAGGCCTGACATCCTGCGATACCAAGTCACTGAAAAAAATATAGCTGTGATATCACGGTCACTTAGACTAATCTGAGTACGATAAAAAGGTAATCGTACCTTTTTGGTACGCTTCGGTGGCATGCTATCAGACTCGTTTAGTCTCGCCATGGTTAGCTGTGGGTATTTTGGCTCAACCACACCTCGCCAAAATACAAACCATGGCTGGACCAAACTCGCTTGAAATGCCACGTACCGATACGTTCCTTAAAGACACGATTAGTTGCAAGTATCAAGAAAGCTGAAATTTATTTCAAAGCGGACGGCTAGAAAAACGAAAACCGAGTAAGAAACATTAACAGCGAGAAAGAAACAAAGACGCTAAAAGGGAAAAGACTCAGGTTAAAGATGATATCCAGTCCGTACTACGCACTCTCGAGAGTTTGTTTACGTTTTTTGTTTTGTTTCATGTAAGACATCACAAAATGTAAAAATTTAGCAACTGGTTACATGAAGTAAATTCAAAGTTTCATGTCAACCGCCATTATGGATGCGAAGCTTTATGCTTCGTTCTTTCTCATATCACTTTATGAAACAACTTCGCAGCTGTAAAAATCAATGAAGCTGTTGGAAAAATAATTTGAAAGGCCTCAAAGATAAGGTATGTGGTTCGTAACGAATAACATTGATACGCATTCCATCGAGTCATAATAAACATAATGGTGCCGAGACTACGCGGTAGGGACTGGAAATCATCTTTAAACCGTCTTACTTAGTTTACTGATCTCGGTCTGCGAGGTTTTATTGCTCGTTTCTTTTTTCATCAGACGCGGTGTGTATGTTTATCTTAGTGTTGTGAACTTCGTTTCAAAGCCCTGAATCTGACAAGCGTCGAAGGCCCTGGTGGATAGCTCTCAAACTAAGGAGTTCGATTTGGCCTCTCGACAGATTTTGAAGTGCAACGGTCGTCTGATTACCAACCTTCAAGGCAGTTCTGTTCAGTGTTTGATGCATCCACCTCCCCGTGCATAGCGTATCGAGTCTCTGCTTCCTCGTCACTCCAGCATTCTCCATAGAATTGGATTCCGAAGTATCTGCAACAGATGGAGATCGAAATCAATCTGTGTCACAATTATAGATTAATAAAATTAATCTCAAAGTCTACTTTGGGCCAAGTGACCAATACTGCCGAAGCTCATCGCAGTTTTCTGTCTGGTGGACCGAGAGAGACCTGGTGCAGAACCGCAGAGAAAGAACAGCTCAATATCGTTCCCAGGCCCTGAGGGGGAGGCAAAGGAGAGAGAGCGTGAGAACGAGGCTGAGGATAGCCTTGTGTTTTACGTCGTGGAGCGAGGCAGCAGTGGTTGCACGTGACCGAGTGGAATGGAAGAATATCCCGCCCATTATCCCCGGGGGGTAATAGCAAAAAGTGATTTTTTTTCCTTCCTGGATGTAATTCTAGGTCATCGCAAGGTTCTATGCAAAATAAATTCAAACAAGGTTAGTGGTCGGCAACAACAACAAAGTAATGTCGCGTTTTAGTTTAGCTTGAGCAAAGAACGATCTATCCAGATGTGGGTGATACATGACAAATTGCGGCTCAGGCAAACATGATTGCAACAGATTACAACCAGGCCGAAATTACGTAAGCAAAACGTTTTGGAGAAAACTAGTTTTTCAGCAAACACTAGGAAACGGGTTGGTGATGTTTCGTCTGATCTGGTAGACTAGTGTCCGTATCACGAAGTATCGTGGCGTACATGGATTTCCTTGAGGCAGCTACGATTGCTGAGACTTTATACTTGTTATGAAATGCTTTCGAGTGGTTTACCTTGGAATATCCCACGAATCACTTGAATTCTCTTGCTATACACATGAGCGTACCTTAGAAAATACAAATGACAAGTGGGATATTTCATGGTATACCATGAGAGAGCGTTACATAACTGTTTTATACCACGCCATAGAAATACAGTGGCCAACACAATCCATGGAACATCTGCGCGGTGCATGATGGGAAGGTTGAATGTAATGCCGTCGAATACAGAACGGCTCTCCTGTATTCTTATTGGCTGTATTTTCTATGGCATGATATAAAATGTAATCTCTACTCAAACCACATTTACCGGAATCCTCGACTCCAAGCTCTTTCCGCGCACTTCGTTATCATGCTTCGCAGGTTGTACCAATCGATTTCCAGTCGCAAGAACGCGTACAAAGTTCGCAGAGCTCGGTTTGATTCGCTGTCTTTGTAGCAGCCAACCTCAATCAAGCGTGGGAGGCCTGGGAAATGGTATAAAGCATTTAGTACGCAGAATAGATAATTAGCAAGATCATGTTTGTTGTTTTATGGAAATCAATCGGCATCAGTTCAGATAATCGTGTCCTTTTTTTTTTTGGAAGGGGTCAGGTTAAGTCGCGACACTATGAAAGAGATTTATTAAGTGCGAACTCTTTAGTGGCATTGGAAGAGCAAGAGCTGTGTTTCCCAGCACACCACACAAATTGAGTAAATTGGTGCCTTCAGAATCCACCAGAAAAAGATAGTAAGACTTTCATGTTACGGGAGCCTTAACGGATGTAACGGAGAAAAGAGAGGGCTGTTTTGCTAAGGATCTAGAGTATCTAATATTCTCTATGTATGCATTGCGCTCCTATTTTCTTACCTGTTTGCAAACACTTGACCCCAGCATCATTGCCATGCGCACAACTGCCCACATTTCCCCATCCAGAGTGGGGACAGTCTAGCAACGACCTCTCTCCTCCCGTGCACTGCACGTTATTGAGCCATACTGGACCTATTCCCTGACCATATTTAGCCCTTTTGGTCTCGTGGATCGCTTTGACTAGTCCCAGTTCATTGCAGACGACGAACGCGTCTTTGCCGTCCCAGGATCTATCACACACAGTACCCCACTGGTTGTCGTGATAAACTTCCACACGGCCTGTGCCATTCTCTTTGGGGAGACTGTCAGGGAAGTTTAGACGAATCGTGTTTCCTGTAGAAAGGAGTCTTGATATGTCACCGCAATAGAGGATGAACAACGGAAAGAGAGTGATGGTTGTTTACCATTTACTCAAAATTCCGGAAATTTTGATCAGCTTACGATGGAGGCTTATGCGGGGAAATATTATTGAAAAGAGATTATTGTCATTTGCATTTGAAAAGACTCCCCGCATTAGGCTCAGTTGCAAGCTAGCTCCAGTCCAGTACCGAGAATACGAATATGGTCTATTGACTGAATTAGTTAGATGTGATGTGACCTAGATTTCTCACCGCCAAGCTGGAGGTAGATTTCACTTTTCAGCGTCAAACAGAGAGAAATCTAGGTAGGAAATTAAGTTAGATTGAACTGGATTTTAGGTGTCTGGTGTCTTACATTTTTGCCCCAAACTTCAAGACTTCAAAAATATTTATGGCGTTACTCACGTTTCTCTGTCGTTATTGATCTCTTCGTCAATGAAAACTGGTTCCAGGCCGACTCGTCTTCAACCGCCTCTGCCTCTTGCACTGGAGGACCTGGGAACAAGTAAGAAGAACCAGAACAGCGGATAGATTGTTTTTACATCAACGTTCATTTTGTATTTTCAGCGGAGATCTTTATATTTTTTAATTCTGTTCTCTTCGGCTTCTCTCTGCCCCTTTTCTATTTTAATTCGTTTTTGCTGCCATTCTGGATCTTCCTTTTCAGCGAGAAACAAAGGATTTTGAGGTAACTTTTTATGAACTACAACAGTCAATACATCGTTTACATTAGTTTTAATCTTTTATTTGCTTTGGAAATCTTCGGCTTTTTTCTCCCCTTTTATTTTTTGTTTGTCGCGTTAGGCTTTCCTTTCTAAAAAGAAAGAAAAGATTTTGAGCTAACTTTTCATGAAAATCCCATTTAAAATAAAATTTGGACAAATGATAAGTTATGACCAAAAATACACCTTTGACTTTTATATAAATTTATGTTTTATCACTTTTTTCGATTGAACAAACCCTAAAGATTAGGGACGCCTAATTTTTCACAAATGTTTACCTTGATCTCCTCGCAATCCTAAATTTTTGAGATGATGAATAAAATTAAACGTATCGAGCTAAACTGAATAATATCAATTTCGGCATGCCCCTCCTAATTCATGAATGTCGCATCAGCAGAAGGCCGCCGACCGCCTCCATTCATCTGAAATCACGTGATTCACGTTAGGTTTCTTGACGTCACACTTTAAGCGGAGGGTAGAGCCGTGGCCAGCCTATCCGGACATGTTATTCTGAAATAAATATCACGCAAAATGTAATAATCATTTACATTTTACTCTGGCGTCCGAGGGACAGCAGCTAGCGCTTGACAACGAAAGAGGCTATAAGGAACAGCAATGTCGCTTCCTAACTTCTCATTTTACAGCACCATACCAGAAAAGTACGAGGTGATCATTCAAACAACCCTTCTGGCAGTACTGTTAGTCGTCTTGATATTAGGTAACTCGGTTATCTGCGCGCTTGTTGCCAAGTATAAAAACTTACGCACTTATGCTAACTTTCTCGTTGTTGAAATGGCCCTGGTTGATCTTTTCAACGGTGTTATCAACATCCCGTTGTTCATTTGCTATCAGTTGTTTCCCTCGCCCGTTTTCAGAGGCAGGTATCTCGCCATAGTCTGTTTTTTTCTTCGTAGAGGCTTTCTGCTTCAAAACGCTCTCTCCGTCACCACTATTTTCTTAGATCGCTACTTAGTGCTCGCTTACGGTCTACGATATACTTCGTGGAAAAGCAGAAAAAAGCTTTTTGGGATCATAGCCTTGAAGTGGCTTTTAGGAGTTTCTCTGGTGGGGGGAATTATTTTTTTTCACACAGATTTCGAGGATATTGGTGACGCCCCTATTGCCAAGTACATTTCACAATACGAGGACAGGGGAATTTTGCCGTTTCCGAGAATCATTTTGCCAGCATTTTTGATAATGTTTTGCGCTGTGTTCTATTTGAGTTCGAGAGAGATTAAAAAAACTGTATCGTTCAGGAAGGGTCTGAAAGGGTTAGACATGAAACGTTTCCAGGATCTAAAAGCGTTGAAAACAGTTCGCTATATCATCGTGTGTTACGCTATTTGTTTCCTTCCCGATATAACCCGTAGTATCCTGCTTCTGACTCCGGTTCAACTGGTAGAATTTTGGCTCATTTTCTCGGCGTTCTTTTTCTTACTTTTAACAAGCGCAGTTAACTCAGTTATCTATTATATTCGGACGGAAAGATTTCGCCGCGCTCTGGTGATGTTTATCAGCAGCCCCTTAGAGAAAAAGGAACTTATAGAATTGAAAACGTACGATCAAGTTGTACCAAAGATTGTACAAGACGCGAAGAGATTGGATCATGAGCCTCAATTTGCGATGGATGGGCCGGCAGAGTCCTCAACGTCAGTGCACAAGGACTGTACGACAGAAGCAACCAAGACAACTGAGGAAATCACCATATATGATAGTGATCAAGGCTGCTGGGACACGAAGCTGTAATAAGGATGAACATTCAAGTCTAACTAAAGCGAACGAATAAACAGTTATAGAAGCGAAAACCTCTGACTCTATTTAAACATCAGTTTACCAAGGACAAGCGACTTGGGACGGAAAAGAAACAATGAATTAATTTTGATTTGGGACAAACTATCACAGGTTATGAACTAACTTACATTTAGAAACATAGAAACTCTTTTCACACTTTAAATGCTCCAAAAAGCAGAAAAGAAAGGAACATTTGTTTGAGAAGGCTTTGGAGCGAGAACTTTTATTTCTTACAAAGAAGGAAAAGCGACGAGTTGTACCGGCTCGAATACTAGACTACAAAGCAAGCTTTCTACCAGGAAAATAAGTACCCAATGAATTTAACAGCAGTATTTTATTTTGTTATAATTTTATCGTAAAATCCTCAAGATTTAGATTATGTGAAAAACGTCACTGCAAAAAAGGCATTCTTGTCGGACTTGAACTGATATTGTCATTAATACTTAAAGATAATTAACTATCTCATTCTAACGTTGAAAATTCATTTATTAAAGTAGGGAGTGTTAAGTGTTATATGTTGTTCAAGCTGTCTTGTCATACAAATAGAGCATTTTTATTTCCCTCTATAGATTTTGTTGTTTTTGCGCGACTAAGAAAAGAATGTGCGCTTGACTTTTTATATTATCCTTAAAAATCTCTCACATCAACCTTAAAAGCGCACAGTATACTAGTTTCGGATAACCGTTTTCTTATTTAATTGGCATATTTCGGGCAAGTTTGGTTACAAAGAGTAACAACCTAACCGAGTTGACACGGCGGAAACAAAGTACAAAAGAAATAGCCCTGTTTATACCACCTTGGGGCCAAAAAATTGTGTTTGTATTTTAGAGGTTCTTTAACACAAGAACGTGACCGACGAAGGGTTTTTCTTCGACCAAGAATTCGAAAAGCCGAACCGGCTGGATTAACGGGGAGTTCGTAAGGCGGAGCCCCACTGTATTTTTCTTCTATTTTTCGTACCAGTTGGTTTGATATTAAAGAACGTTACCGCACCCATTTTGTTTTTCTCCGTCCTATGCTAATACATAAAAGTCATAATTTATTAAAGTTTACCGGCTACTTCTCTTTAAGCGCACTATAATCTTGTTTGCGCAAAAGTATACTTTTAAGACGATACTAATAAGGTAATGAATTTGTAATTCGCGGTAGTTAATAACTTGGCTGCACTAATATATGGCCTCTGTTGTGATCAAGGTATTGGATGTAATTATAGCATCTTGAACTGAGGAAAAATAATTCTCGGAACAGGCGTTCAGAGCTGTTGTTCTTTCATCGTCTTTTTTTCATTTGTTTGCTGCATGTTTAATCTGGGCGAAATTTAAAAAGTGCGGCATTTATTTTTTAGGCCCCATCCACTCTACGCCGGAGGAATTTGAAAACGGAGGATTCACTCTGTAAACGCATCAAATGTTTTCCGCCCACACTACGCCGGAGGAATGTAAAAACGCAACAAGGATTGTCGACGTGACTACATCGTTTTCGAAAAGCTCCGTTTTCAAAATGTTTTCCGCGCTCAGGAAAACGAAAAACCGGCGTTTTCAAATTCCTCCGGTTTGAAGAGCGTTCTCGAAAAGCTCCGTTTTCGTGACGGATTAGTGTGGAGGGTAGGCCTAGCCTTAGAAATAAAGCTTTCTTTTCAAATTACTCTGGCGTAGTGTGTACGCCGCCTTAATTGTGGCCACTCGCGTACTGAAAATTGTACCTACGGAATGACCATACTTCACGTTGCCAATAAAAGAAAAATGTAATACTGAAGTGTTCTGTAATAATTTGACAGGCTGTTGTAATGTAAGTCCTCCTGGCATTGAGTTGAATACCCGCCCAAAAATGAAACAAAACTGATATTTTCTACTGGACGAAGCTTGAAAACAAGATTGTGCAGAACTTGGGCCAACCATCTGGAAATTACAACGCTATGGTGCAGGAAGAGAGAACGTCTTATTTTATTTTATTTTATCTTTTATTTTAAAGATTCGCCATGAGGCTGGTGGGCATTCAAAAGATAGCATATAAGGATGTAGGAAATTCAATCCAACTTGTTTTTTAATGTGGCTAAATATGTCCAGTATATTCACGTGTAGTAAATTTGTAACCCACATATATGGATTATTGACCAAGCGTGAGGTCAAGATGGCTGGACATTGGCCATGTTCTTTTTTTTTTTGTTTTTTGCTTGTTTATGGACCTGGACTTCGTCTCGGTCCTTAAGCACGCAAAAAACAGAACGAGGCAAATATCCAGCCATTTTGAACGAACAAGCTTGGTCTATAAAGGATTTATTTTATGACTTTCGGGGAATTTTTCTTGCGGGACACAGCAGGTAGTCCCGAGCGGGCAAGATAACGTCATCTTGCCTGCTCGGGTAGCCAATCACAGCGCAGGATTTAGTTCATCTTACCCGCTCACGGGGCTGGCCATATAGTAAGAATCAGTATTGCATATCAGGCAGGGAAATCAGTGTATAGTGTAACGAAATGACTGAAATGTTTTTGGGTTTCCTTTTCTTACCAAACCAAAAAATTAGTAAAAACCTAGTTGCATGGTTATGTTACTGAACTGACTTGAGGTACGTATTAGAAATCTTGATTGAGGATTTTTCTGTCGTTGAAATTTTGTGAACCGAGCCTGAGAAGGCCACGGTAGTCCTATACAAACACAAAAACCTTGAAAAAAAAAAACATTCTTAATGGGTTCTGGCTAAAAGTCAGTTAATAAAGATCTTAACATGACAATTCGCACGACATTTAGTGGAAACAAAATTCTCCCAGAAATAACCAAGAGATTCCAATTAATTTCCTTACGCATATTTCAGGAAGGCAACATCAAGACTCACAAAAGTAACCCATATATATCCTCAAATCCTCAATCACACTTTGTAAATAGCCAACTGGTCTGCTTTCTGTCAGTTGGGATTTTTAACTATGTTACCCTTATTTGAAATATTTGTTTCCTTTGCTTCAGTGGCACACCTGTAAACTAGGTAAGCTTAGTGCTTGTATAGCTAAGTGCATGGCCACTATAAATAAGATTTAAGTTTTTTCATTTAAGGGTACCATCAGCGGTAAAACTTTATTGGCTGCTCTGTCATATAGAGCCTTTCACCTGACACCACGGCAGCCATATTGGTGTCTCAAATGAATGAAACGGGGCCATTTTGGTGTCCCAAACCAAACCTGTGCGAGGTAAACACTTTCTTTTGTTCCAATAAATTTGCAGGGCTGCTGGCCACGTGAGTGGAAACGCCCTGTAACGGTGCCTAGCCGGCTACGCCAAGAGTATAGCGACCCGGTAACCTAACCACAGAAACTGTATTTTTGTTCCATTCGAGCGTGCACGGTGGTTGCTTATAAAGAGACAATTTATTACCTTCGTAGCCTACTATAGAAAAGGGAAAGCTTGGGACGGGAAGATGGGGGAGCGTTGATAACACTAATTAAAGGGGGGAAGGAGAATCAAAAATGCGAGTCCAAAATCTAAAATGAGTCTGACGCTACGAAAAACCTAATTACGGTGTTGCATGCGGTTCATTTATTCTAGTTATTTGATTTAGCGTCCTCCATCTAATAAGCACCCTCTTTCTAACACACGCTCCTCTTTGAAAGCGTTTTCATCAGTTTTGAATTAAATCTGCGGACCGCGTAGAGCTAGTTAAACGTTTGCTGTCGTGAGTTCTTTCGAATTTTGGGTGATACTTAAAATGTTCTTCGACGCGAATTTCCCTTTCCAGTACCATAACTTACTTGCTACCTCTTACATCGACTTACCGATTTCTGGCCCACTGGAGGCTTCTTGGCGGTCTTTCTCAAACTGTTTTAATGACTGAAAGAAAGCCTCCTGGTCCACCAGAAAGTCTGAGAAAAAAAAAAGGTTTACGATCAATGTTCAATATAAACCTTAACATCAGATAATGATTGCAACGGCAGATTCGATGCTTGATCAAAATGTGTCTGTGAAAAACGTACAAAGAATGGAAACCTTTTCTTTTACACCTCGCGAGCAACACATTGATTCACCTCAGATCCTCAAGAATGTTTTCCATTTCGTGATTGTAAGAGCACGAGCTTACTCACCTTATTCTTGAATTTTTTTTCCAATTTTCTCTACTACAAGGCTTTTGAAAAATCGCGTAATAAAATAGAACGCAAAAGNAGAGAAATGAAGACTACAATTTTCCCACCAAAATGACATCTATACGATGTACGCGCTGTAACTACAGGCTTGTACTAACGTGAAGAACCGGTAAATGGAAGGACGTTGTCTTTAATCTGCCTCTGAATTCGTTGCAAATTGTTTTTTGTTAACGAGAATTCTCGTAAAATATATATGGATGGAAGATACCATGTAAAGCTCTCGAAGATAAAATCCTCCAGATGCTGTAAACTTCCATAAATATGCGCTTCCCGCCTAGAAAAAACTCACGTGAAATGAAACTCCTCCCTTTTTCGAAATGTCCGATTTATTTTAAAAATCAATTTAATAAGGAACAAAACAATTTCTTTCTTAAAGCCTTTGTTACTTTGTATTTTTTTTTTAGTGTGGGTTCCGTTTACTCAGGCACCCTTATACACACCTCGCTTTTTGGACGCAGAGTACTTTCCTCGCCAATTATTTTTGACATGCTTTGTATCTTCTATCAACAATACTAAGCTAGACTTCCGCCTCTCTCATCCCGCCAAAAATGACTTGGACAGGCCCAAAATTTGCAATGAATTGAATAAACTTTTAATTATATTGAATATGGAAAAAAAGGTCTGAAAGTAATCCTTTCTTGCATCGAAGCAAAAGGCTTGGGAATGATAAGATTCAACCAAGCTTTCATTCAAACCATCATAGTCACGTTTTGAAATTTTGTCAAGGTTTTCAGATTCTAAAAATCATGCGTAGTATAGGAGAAAGATGTCTCTTTTAATCTCTAACAATTTTTAGTAGCAATAGTGCAGTTATCACTGATAATATCGATTGATATGTCATCAATATGTCGCTGGAAATAAGGCGAAGAAAGCCGGCCTGTCACTTTTTTGTTTGCATCAGTTTTGCACCTGGAAAAAGTTCAAATATTTTCTTTTTTTTGAAACGCCACATGAAAATTATGTAGCATCGATTCATTTTTTTTGGCTTGTCTAAGTCATTTACAGAATTCCTTTTCTCCTGTCAAGCTTGGGTTCGGTTTTATAACTTGCTTCGCGCTCTTCTTGAAAAAATTATTTCGTAAAATAGGTGCAGTACAGCTAGGTGAAGGATACGTCTCTGATTAACCCAGCCTGCAGTCAATACATTACTCGGTAAATTCCTGACCTTAGATAAAAACAGGATCTTTCCGAGCCTATGTTCTTAATTTCAAATACCGCATGGTTGATTCAGTTAGACTTTTATGCTGTCTTGCACAAAATTTAAGGTAATAAAGAGGCCCCATTAGGGGTTTCTGAGTATCCCACGTCCCGTTAATTTTTGGTCTAAATTTCCCGTAGCCATTAATGTACCAGGAGCAAAAATAATTGATTTTCCTATTCGATATCCCGTTTTATCTGATCTTAGATCCCATATCCCATTTACGTTTTCCCCAAATATCCTGTATCACATTAACTTTTTACCTATATATCTCGTATCCCAAAATCCCTCAATAGGGCTTCAAAAGTACACCAAGAGAACATTGTCGTAGATTTTACTGTGTGATGGAGAAGCCAAATTTAACTAAGTCCACTTTCAGTTCACTGCCTTAGCAAGGCAAACGACTGCAAAAGATCAGTTCTTTGTGGAGACTTAAACAGGGTAAAGTAAGGTTGCTACATTTTGTTGTCGTGTATCCTAAAAGAAAGAGTGTGTCTCACAACATACCTGCTATTCCTTCATGAAACACAGTCGCAAGAAAAACGACCAAAGACAGCTTCATTTCTTTCTTGATTTTCTCCAAAATTCCCAGCGCACAAACAAGCCAAGGCAAATGTGTTTAGTTTTAACTAAATAAAAATACGTATAACTATTATGAGGAGAAAATCTTGAAATAACAGATTTATGCTAAATACATATCTCTTGTTGTCCGAAATCCGTCGGTTTGCTATCACCTGAGGGATTTGTCTAAATGAAACTTTCACATGTCAAAATCAAGTCAAGTCGAGTAAACAATGATTTTCAGCTCTGGGGATCATTGAACCAATTTTTACTCTGGGCAAACGAGAAATTGTGCTTTTGTTTGTTTTTCTTGAATCTCAAGTTTTATCGGCTCACGTATCTTGCAATGTTTTAAAATAAACTAAAATTATTTCTTTTTTTCACCTTTGCAATTTTCGGTTGTCGTTTCTATTGGTTTATAAACGTTAAATAGCACTAAATTGAAACGTTTTATCCCTGGCGAAAAATGAAACCTAAGATGAAAATAACACCTAATTTAAAAGGGAAAACTGCTAATTGGCAAGTTAACAAATTTAAGGAAGAAAGCAATAAAAATCCAAGCAAATAAACAATTTCCTTATTGACTGTAAATGTTAGTTTTGCAAGCCTAAAAATCATTAATAATTTTCTCTTCTTTATCAAGTGATTTTTTAAAGTTTTATGGATTTTTTTTTCGTTTTAAAAATCTACACGGCAGATATTTTTAAAACTGAAGACTCTCTAAGGCACAAATAAATGAGTTTCACAAGAAAAATAGCAAATTCCTATTGCAAAGAGTTTCCTGGAATCAAGAGAGACCGGCTTTGGCTTCCTCCTCATGAAGGCTGTAGAAGCACGCCACCTTAACTGTGAAGCACTTTCATACTAGAGCTTCGACTAGTTTTGTAAAATGCAGTTTTAACTACATTTTACAATTAAAATTCCAGTCTAGTTTAATGCGTTTATTTATTTAGGTGAACAGGGGTAACGGTGAAGCCGGGCGTATTTCTGAATTAACTTTGAAGGTTTTAACGATTTCATCCAAATCCAATTTATTTTACTGATTCTTGAGGCTTTGTTTTCCTTATTTAGCGGCGTTTCTGTAAGATTCACTTGCGTTGTGAATGCTCACTCAGTTAGAAACAGAAACTGACATGGTTATTTTGGAAAATTTTCTCTGAGTTTTCTCGGGTTTACAGGCAAATAATGGCACATTGAGTGTTTGGACTTGTTGAGACATCACCACGATGTTAATTTTTCAGGTTGTGATTGTTTGAATCCGTTGTTTTAATTCCACCTCAAAGTTTGTTTCACTTAAATCGCTGTGGCTAAAGTAGATATTAATTTTATCTCGTTTATATGCCGCCCTATCCTTTCTTTTCAACACTGTCAACTCAGCCTACGCTGAAAACCCAAAGAAGCCTCTTCTAATGAAAAACAAATATTACTACTTTTTTGACAGCTCGATGCTCCAAACTGTTGTCACTTACACAGATGGTTATATAAGCTGACGTGCGAAAGGTTAAACAAAAAATTGTATTTACTCATCGAAAATGTATCTGTCCCTTTTCAGTCTATCACTCTGTCGATTCTCTTCGGAAATATGATCAACACTTTTCTGATTTTCTGCGTTTTTCCTGCTGCTCTCGTAGGTAAGTTATTACCATCGTCTCTTGCCATTTCTTGTTAACTTCATAATTGTTCTTTGCAAGGCAGGCAAGAGAAGTTGAAATACAGGTCGCGAAAAAGCAAAATTTCGATCGATTGCGGCCGCTGTAGAATACAAATTCGACTAAATATCGTATTTCAAATTTTAAGGGAAGGATGATCATGTACATCATGTGGTTTGGATTTGGGGAGCTAAAAAGGGTCGGTATAAATGATATACGATGAAAACCACCCATTAGAAGACAAATCAAATGACAGTAAAACTAAAACCAAATTAAACGGCTTACGTAAAATTGCTTTGTAACTGTAATAAAGAATCATATATCAGGTTGGTGAAACAATATCTTCTATTACAAATAACCCATTTGAGAGAAGTACATGGGCTGAATATTTCAATGTGAACTTAATTGCGATAAAATGTACCACAAAATTAGGGATAGAATTTTGTTCATGACTCGTGGGTGTAGATCACTCACAAACCCACAATATACCTGTTTTCAAACCTGTAGACCGACTTGCTGGAGCCTGGGTATAACTTTTTTCTTTGTGATGGGTTTGAACAGACCGCTGGGCATGGAGGAGCACAGGCACATTTTTTCAGTGCGCCGGTCTCCTCAGTGCCCGCCGGGCAGAATGCTCTTTGAAATGCTGGGACTAAAATGTAATCCATGCTAATGTAAACTCCCAAAGAGAAACAGTGAGCTCGTAGTCCAGTTTTCTCAACCCCTCTGGGTATTTTTATAGTTGAACTTGGTGCCAAAAACTTCTCTACACCTAACCAAACCGTATAGGATTGGTAAGATCTTACCTCTTTAAAACTTACTCGATCTAAAAATAATTATCCAGGAAGGCAGGAAAAATCCTATCCTTAAGCTGACTTAATTTAAAATGTTATACAAGGCATCACATAGTTGTTAATTTTTTTTTACATTTTGCTAACAGGGCAAGCTATCAGGCTTGTGCCGCCACCAGATGCAACTCATGTGGGGCAGGGTCGAGTGGAAGTTAAACATGAAGGGACCTGGGGCACAGTTTGCGATGATGAATGGTCGATTGAAGACGCAACTGTGGTGTGCGAGCAGATGGGGTTTCTGAAAGCGATTTATCAGGCAAGGCAATTGAATTACGGACGGGGGGGGGGGGGGGGGGGGGGGG